GCGTGTTCAAAATAATAGCAGTGTGGAGTTCTATTAGTGAGGTCATTCATTCTTTGAAAAACAGGTGGCAATTATTGCCCTTATTTAAGGAAGGAAGGCAGCAAATGTTGTCCATGCTGGTTACGGTGCATTTCTCTCTGAAATTCTGAGGAAAATGGGTCGTTCCAGACATTGTTCAGAAGAACAGCGTACCTTGATTAAAAAGTTGATTGGAGAGGGGAAAACATAAAGAAGTGCAGAAAATGATAGGCTGCTCAGCTAAAATGATGGCAAATGCTTTAAAATGGCAACCAAAACCTGAAAGACGTGGAAGAAAGCGAAAAACTACCATTCGAATGGATAGAATAATAGCCAAAATGGCAAGGACTCGGCCAACAATCAGCTCCAGGAAGATGAAAAAAGGTGTAAAGTTCCCTGTGAGTACTGTTACAATTAGAAGACGCCTATGTGAAGCCAAGCTATCTGCAAGAAGCCCCTGCAAAGTCCCACTGTTGAAAAAAAGACGTGTGCTGAAGAGATTACAATTTGCCAAAGAGCACATTGACTGGCCTAAAGAGAAATGGCGCAACATTTTGTGGACTGATGAAAGTAAGATTGTTCTTTTTGGGTCTACTGGCCGGAAACAGTTTGTCAGACGACCCCCAAACACTGAATTCAAGCCACAGTACACTGTGAAGACAGTGAAGCATGGTGGTGCAAGTATCGTGATATGGGGATGTTTCTCATACTATCAGTTTGAATACATCAGAATACTTGAAGAGGTCATGCTGCCTTATGCTGAAGAGGAAATGTCCATGAAATGGGTGTTCCAACAAGACAACGACCCCAAACACACCAGTAAACGTGCAACATCTTGGTTCCAGACCAACAAGATGGACGTTATGGAGTGGCCCGCCCAATCCCCGGATCTTAATCCAAGAGAAAACGTGTGGGGTGACATCAAAAATGCCATCTCTGAGGCAAAACCAAGAAATAGAGAAGAACTGTGGAATGTCGTCCAACCATCCTGGGCTGGAATACCTGATCACAGGTGCCAGAAGTTGGGTGACTCCATGCAACACAGATGTACAGCAGTTCTCAGAAACAGTGCGACTACAACGAAATATTCATTAAGTGATTCAAAGGAAAGCAAAATCTTCAAACATTTTTCAGTTTATATAGTGAATGTTTGAGTTTGTAAAGAAGAATACAAACACTGATATTTTTTTGAAGTCTAATATTCACTTTTATTCAATTTTTTTAGAGGAACAACACAAATTTGATCTATTTTTCTTCATGTTTTGATTTGGAATAGAATGTGTCGTGTTCCCAATGCATTCGTGTGGATGGAAATAAAAGCTATTAGAAGGATTTTGAGCTTTATTCACTTTTTTCAACATACTGCTATTATTTTGAACACAACTGTATATGTGACAGGTGGAATTGCTTCTAGCAGGAGTAGTTGTCAACACTTTCTCTGTGAGCAGGTCTGTCTCCCATACAGGGGCAGAATGACAACTCATGGGGCCCCGGTCAATAGGGGATCATGGAGCCCCTGTGTCCTTGCCTAAACTCAAAAAAGCCTATGAAAAAGGTACCAGGGGCATCTCATGGTGCCCCCTACTGACCCTGGGCCCTCGGAAGTGCCCTAGTTTCCAAATGGTCAGTCCACCCCTGCTCCCATAGCAATGTGAGCAGATCAAGCACCGCAGAGGTTTCCAACCTGTACATTGGCATGGAAGCGAAACAGTTAAGGGAAGTGCACACATGGAGTCCACACTAGGTGTGCGGCAGGTTCCCATAATGTTACTGGTGACGGGGAAACCCAAAACTCATGGGTTTCAGTAATATCTTGACTGCTGAAGCCAGATTGAAAAGTAGATGTGTTTATTATAAAAGCATGTAGCTAGACCTACATGCAGGGAGCGCAGAACAATACATGGTGTTGGATTCAAAGTAATGCTTTGTCTTGGAAATCTAATACAATTTATATGTCCTAAGATGGGTGGGAACCTAGCTATCTGACTGCTTTGAAGTTTCATTCTGGTTTCTGGTGGAGTTCATTGAACTGTAACTGGACATTCACACAAGTATGTCACTTCCAATTGTTCCTTTAGATAGCACTCTTCCCAGCTGAAGGTGCAAATAGCATTCTAACACAAGAAATACAGCTGTTACACAATAAGACTTCTAATGACAAAAAATATATATATCAATATATATACACTTAATCAAAACTAAATGTTTGATATATAAAATGGCTATTCCATTTTCCCTCACACTGGGAATGAGGTAGCTTGTGATATGCTGGTCAACTGGAGAGGGCAAGGGCTCTGCGTGTCCCTCCTAGTTGCACAAGTGACCATGGTGATGTAAAGTTACATCAAGAGAGTTTATTAATGTTGAGTTATCTGTTCAAGTAAAGTTACCCCATGTGTAAGACAGTGACATCCAAAGTGCCTAGCATAGCCCAGAAGAATCCACCCTGGGGTGGGCCTCTCATGATCTTGCTTGGTGCCCACCCACGAGGAGGGAAACATGGAGGACATGACTTTTACTACACAACCCCTACCCCGCCAACAAGCTGTTTCCTCTGCAGTATCATAGGTTGTACTCACACTCGGACCGGTTAAATTTAACTGCTCCAAAGTTCAATCTCCCCTGTCCCCACTGCCCCGCAGGTTTGCACTCAAATGGGTTTATAAGGAAGTGTGTCACACTTCCCTGCTAACCAGACTAGTGATCCCTGTTTTAATACACTGTTCTCCAAGGAGAGAACTGTGCTCCAGCACGGTTTCCATTCACACTGCTGCAAACCGTACCAGATCGCATGTGAACCACGCCCGGTTCCAAATTATCCCAGGTGCTGTTCAGAGCATTCACACAACACAAGCAAATCAGCCCAAGGGACGTTTAAAAGGGCTAGTGTGAGTTCTTTAATTCCTGTAATCCTTTTTAGGTTGTAGTGTGGCAGCACCCAAATATTGCAGAGTTTCACTTTAAGCTTTAACATTTCTAAAAGCATCTGTCTGCAGAACCAGTTCATCAGCTCACTTCCCCCCCTTCATTTCCTGCGGAACAATGTGTTCCAGTCTAGCAGCTGACACCCTAATTTTCAGTTGGTGTTATTTTATCCAAATGTGAAACCGCAAAGGCTATATCCTGAACTGCTCAGCATGTATTTTAAAGGTAAAAAAAGTAAAGAGGAAATATATGCATTGTGACGTAATTGTTGATATATATACACCATGTAATATGCTGTTCAACGCACTTAGCTTGCAGACGCGAGTCTTGTTAGGTCAACCAGCAGGTGAATAAAAAGCTTGTTTTCCTCAAGTTCGTGTCCTGAGTTTTCCTGGCATTCCCAATAGTTTTCCTATTACAGTAGTAAATTTCAGCCAATTCTTACTTATTACAAATGTTATACTGCTGGCCAATTTTACATTGTTGTATAATCTACAGTCTCTTAATCCTTAATGAAACTTTGACAGACAGCAGGACAGTTTTGCATCAGCGAGAAACAGGGACATCCTCATTGAACTACTTGAACTGAAAGGTGCAGCGCTAAAATCTACAATAAACCAAATTATGTCCGTTAAGATAGGTCTAAATGAATATGTCTTAAAGATAAAATGTTCATAAAGTGACAGTTCGTGCTAGGATGCCAATCACCGTTGTTGATTACTTCAATATTCAGTGATGTGCCCAAAAGTGGTAAAAATACGCACTCACCAGATGCATATTTTAAATACGCATGTAATATGTATAACCAGAGGTCCTCTTTAATGATGGATGAGGTAAGCCTAGTACAGGTTCTCCTCCCTCTGGATGGTGTACAGCCCAACGGATGTCTCCTGGATATACAAGGATCTAGTCCTTCCAGAGGTGCCCTTTAAGGATGGATGGGTGTTTGCAGCCTAGGATGGAAACTCCCTCTTCTGGATCCTGTGGGATACTGCAGCTGAACTTCCAGGGTGGGCTCTGCAAATTAATTTAGCTCAACAGGGAGCCAGACAGAATATTGCCCATAGTGCAGTATTGTAAAGGTAGGTTTTTTTATATCCATGTGGTAAAAGTAGTAAAACAACAAGTCCTGGTATGCAATGCTTTATGTGGGGACTGACCGTCCACTGAGCAAGATGGCAACCCCTTCTGAAGAAGTGTGTGGCACGAAACGTGTCAAGGAGGAGCCAATATGCCGTGACGTCACGCCGCTGGAGCCTCGTGAAGGTCTGGCACCATCCATCAGTGAACGATTAGTCCCCACATACAGCATTGCATACCAGCACTTGTTGTGTTACTACTTTTTACTATAGGGGCCCACGTGTGTACTTGCTCCCAAGCCCCGCTGTGTGTGTCCATTGACACACAGGACACGGCTTGGCCCTGCCCTCTGTTCACTCCTCACCAGCTGTGATTGCCAGCAGACGGAGCCAATAGCTGTGCCAATGAGGTGGGAGAGAGCCAAGAGAACCACTGCTCTCATGCACATCGCTTGATTCAGATTGGGCTCGGATAAGTACAGTATGAGGGGGATCAGCATGCAGAAGATTTTTTACCTTAATGCAGAGAATACATAAGGCAAAAAAAAACTTTGCCTTTAGAACCACTTTAATGTATAAGAGTGTGTCTAATGGCTAAGAGTGTGTTTTTTGTTCTTTTTTTCCCTATAATTCATGATATTATGTTATCTACAGCTATGATTACTAAAGAGTAGGGAAATACAGAGTCTATAAAACAGTATGCACCCCCTTGGATGTTTCATTGTCATAGAACATTGATTCCCCGTTTTTCCAACAGCTCAGCCTAGATCCCTTTAACGTGCAAACAATTCCTTCAGGGAGCATGTGGGTTAACCATGCTGTGACGCCTATGAGGACATTCCTGAGATTCTGTCTCCAGGGGCTTTTACTAAATGGGAACACAACTTCCTCCTTCTGCTTTTGCTTTTCAGTTTTTGGGCCAGAATACAGAAGATGAAGCACTGTGTGGTCCATGTCCAGGGCAGCAAGGTGAGGCATGACGTGTCAGTGGCCACCTTTCAGGAGTTAATGGAGAAAGGTAAAGAGGAATGCGGGGCTGTGAGGTTTGCACAGGAAATAAAGTAACAAGATAAATCCAAAATTGATACTTTGATTAGTTGTCGGACTCTGCTGGGCTTTGATTTGATGGGTATTGCTGGACTTTGATTTTTTTTTTTTAGAAAATGTGAATGCAAATAATTGGTCAACTAAAAATACATCAGACATTTAGAGCACAATGTACTCGAAACTTAGGACTGTCATTTCTCTTGGTTTACATATTTTAGGAGGAAATATAACCTCACAAGTATTCAAAGTATAGTATGGAGATGAGAGGGAAAAGTTCAAGTGAAAAGTATAGAAAAGAGAGACTAGAAAACCACCAGCGTTTTCAAGGAAAACAGGAAAATAAGGAAAGATGGGGGAGAAAAGCAGGAAAGAAAAAAAGGGGAAAAAACAGGGTGAGTTTTGTCTACTACACCCACATCCTCTCTCCAAGTTTGGAACCTGTGCCTGTGGGTCAAGAGCCTAGAATGTGTTGCTTTATGGAGATGCTAAAGAAGTTTGGTCTTTGTAGAAAAACCATGGCGTCCATATTTTTTTCTCATATTGATCTTTTAGGGCCATAGTGAACTGCTCCATCTGTTGGATCTCTGGGATCCTCATGGGCTTTGTTTATTAATGGAGGCTGCTGGGCCCTGATTATTGGCGGAGGTCACTGGGCTGAATATGGGGTGCTGTTGAGTCTTGATTATTAGTGGAGACCACTAGGCTGTATCTGGGATGCTGTTGAGCTTTGATTATTGGTGGAGGCTACTGGTCTGAATCTGGGATGCTGCTGGGCCTTGACTATTGGCGAAGACCACTGAGCTGAATCTGGGGTGCTGTTGGGCCCTGATTATTGGTGGAGGTCACCGGGCTGAATATGGGGTGCTGTTGAGTCTTGATTATTAGTGGAGACCACTAGGCTGTATCTGGGATGCTGTTGAGCTTTGATTATTGGTGGAGGCCACTGGTCTGAATCTGGGATGCTGCTGGGCCTTGACTATTGGCGAAGACCACTGGGCTTAATCTGGGGTGCTGTTGGTCCTTGACTATTGGTGAAGACCACTGAGCTGAATCTGGGGTGCTGTTGGGCCCTGATTATTGGTGGAGACCACTAGGCTTAATCTGGGATGCTGTTGAACCTTTATTATTGGTGGAGATCACTGATCTGAATCTGGAATGCTGCTGGGCTTGACTATTGGTAGAGACCACTGGGCTGAATCTGGAATGCTGCTGGACTTTGATTATTGGTGTGTTGAATCTGGAACATTGTTGGGCTTGATGAACACTGATGGGATGAATTAAGTATGCTGATGATTGGAAGAGGTAGAGAGGAGGGGGGGGGGGCAAGAAGTCTTGATCTCTACCTCATTAGAGAATGCTTTGTATTCACTGAGGTGTTCTATGAATGGAGGTGTTGCCAGGTAGGTGGTCCTCTGTGGTCAGTGTGAAGTGACCGCCCCACCCCCACCCTGGACTCACAGAAGGACTACTCACATGGTACTCCTTTTTGTAGCATTTAGGGTGCTTCCCGATCAAAGGAAGAAAAGGGCGAGGAGGACTTGTGATGTCATCAGACCCAACCAAAGACATCAGGAACAAGAGTATGTATTCAGCGTTTCTTATTTTAAGGTCACTGGGGCACTCCATTTCAGCAATACACTGCTGCTATTTGCTAAGCTGTGTCACATGATGAGGAATATCAAAATATATACACGACATTAGATATACTGTACTATAGAGAGACCGCTAACTGTACACCATACATAGCTCATGTGCTCCAAGTGACCGGAAACTTTGTGTCTCTTAAAGCTCTTCAGGTCTTGAACCTAAACAGCACAAGAGCTTCAGTGTCGCTGGTTTTGGCAAAGGATGGAACGAAGGTGGACAGCAATGAATTTTTCCTCTGCTTGCCTGAGAACACCGAATTTCTTGCACTTATAGGAAGCAAGCAGTGGACACATACTAAGACAGGTATGTGGCAATACAAACAATATATGTGGAATTTTTGAACGCTCAAAGTGCAGCAATCCAGAACAACTGGATTTCACTTCCTCTCAGTTCAGAACTAAATTTGATGGGAGGCGATGAGTCATTGCAGTGCATTGCTATTTGTCTTACCAAATGGAAATGAGTAGGCTGCAGGGTTTTACCGCCCCCCAACAGCTAGTGCGAACAAGCCAGATCATCCTTCAGAGACCAAAGCTCATGTGAATGAACCCTTAAAGTATTTTTTTTATACTTTTTTTTTTCCTTTTCATTTTAGATAGCGTAGAGAATGGTAAAAAACCCCATTGCTATCTTCAGCCCAGTGGTGAGATTTTTTTTTCTTGTCCTATAGGCACAGCAGGAAGTGATAGGAACTCTCTCCAATGTGAGGCAAACTTTCTCTTAAATAGCTGTCCCCATTGGAAGATATCCCCTCCATTACTGTTCAGCTGATGGCTCAAAATATTGGACATTGGTCATCAGCACAAATATAAAGGGTGACTCTCCAGAGTCAGGAGAGAGACAGCAACAAGCACCTGAAGGGGATTCTAACCTCTCTTCACTATCCAAAACTGGAAGAAAAAAAAAAAACATTTTTTTTTTAGAGTATTTGCCTTGTATATAATATATTTGCATCACAGCTGGGGAAGTCCCCCCTCTCTTTTTCTCTTAGTAATCATTGTCATCAAGACAGAAGGTGAGGGGAACACCGAAATTTTAGAGTTGTTCCCAGACTGGGAGGTGAGGGGAAATCTTTCAATGGGGACATGTGTTCCCGAACACAGTCTAAGGGTCCATTTACATTTTTTGTGATGTGTTAATATTAATTATGTTGCATGGCAGCACAGTGGCTAAATGGTTAGCACTTCCGCCTGGCAGTACTAGGGTCGTTGGTTTAAATCCCAGCCACGGCACCTCCTGCCTGGAGTTTGCATGTTCTCCCTGTGCCTGGTGGGTTTCCTACGACACTCCAAAGACATGCTGGTAGGGTTAATTGGCTCCTGTCTAAATTGGCCCTTGTATATGAGTGTGAGTTAGGGACCTTAGATTGTACGCTCCTTGAGGGTTAGGGACTGATGTGAATGTACAATATATATGTAAAGTGCTGTGTAAATTGATGGCGCTATATAAGTACCTGAAATAAATAAAATAAAAATAATGTTAACACACATTGCATTAAGGCAGCCCATTGAAAATATTTGACTACCAAAACATCCCAACGCACCAAAATTGGACGTTTCACAGAATCTATACCACAATGTACAGCAATGCATATGGTGCATTGGGGGTACCATTCAAGTTTCCAAATGGACTCTCCATAATGCCGAATGTACAAGCACTGTTGGGATTCAGCAGAGGGAGAGTGACTTCTTTATGTGTTGTAGAAGGAGTAATACGTTTATGAAAAGCATTGCTGTGCTTTCTTTAGATGGAGGGACTATTTGGATGGAGCAGGAATCAGCAGAAGACGTGACCAATACCCAGCTTCCGAAGGCAGAGAAGTCCATGGAGAACTATCCCAGCATCATCCTATATTCAACATCTGACAGTACGGTACGTTTAAAGTGCACCTGTGCCCAGACTATGAATATTAAAGTGGAAGCCACCGTGATTGGTGTAGCATGCTTTTAATATGTCAGCAGATTATGAAACCACCTTCCTTCTTCTGCGCTGTCCTCCAATGATGACGGGTCCAGGCACTTGTCACTGTTGCATCCCCACCACCACCATCATCTCTGCTGCCCAATCTTCTAGGTCCTGCAGCTGTCCTCTTCGGGCACTGGGTGGCCACTGATCATGTAATTTCTACATATGCGCAGAGGAGTTACATTGTCCTTGTACTTGGCCCATTGTTGAAATCTTTCTGGGAACAAGCAGACAGTATACAGTGATAGGAAACATGTATTTCCGGGATGTAACAGGGGACTCTGATGGGTCTTTGATGTAAGAAGAACTCTTATGGAGACACTGAGGTATGGGAGAACTCTGATGGGGACCCTGATGTAAAGGAGGACACTAATGGGGACACTGATTTAAAGGGGAACTCTGATGGGGACACTGATGTAAAGGAGGAACTCTGATGGGGACACTGATGTATGGGGGAACTCTGATGGGGACCCTAATATAAAGGAGGACTCTAATGGGGACACTGATATAAAGGAGGAACTCTGATGGGGACACTGATGTAAGGGGGAACTCTGATGGGGACATTTATGTATGGGGGAACTCTGATAGGGACCCTGGTATAAAGGTGGTGCTCTGATGGCCACCCTGATGTAAGAAGAACAGTGTACAGTGATGGGCACCCTGATGTATGGGGGGGGGGATTATGATGGGGACCCTGATATAAGAGAGGATTCTGATGAGGACCCTGATGTAAAGAGGGACACTGATGAAAGGGGGACCCTGACGGGGACTCTCATGTAGTGGAGACTCTGATGTATGTAAGGGGGAACTCATTTTTTTCCAGCCTGCAAATATTTGTAAAATATATGAAGTGGCCCTCATCCTGAAACGTTTGGAGACCCCTGATCTAGACCATGTGTGAATTACTAGCACTCTGTAATGCCGCTACTTTGTTGACAATGATATGTATGTAGCACCCCAGCAGGCTCCTAGTGTTAAGTAAATTTAAATTTTGGCCTCCTTGTAACCAAGGAGAACGGTTATTGTTTAGTAATTTCTGTTCTGGGTTCTGCTGGTGCAGGCTCAGCTGCTTTCCCCTGCATCCCACTGAGCTCTGGAATATAGTGGACAGAACAGCTTAGACCCTGGCCTGCATATTCATGCCTCTTTAGCCAATCCCTGGTCAGGAGAGTGAGTGACCAGCAGGGGGCTGAGAGGGGTATAAATGGACTGAAGCCTGGAACAGTTTCCTCTGGATCCTAGGAAAGTAAAACCCAGCCTGAGAGCTGAGGCATCCTTGGGAGATTAGCTGTAACATGGAAGAATCCTTTTTTGGAGTCCCAGCTCCTGCTTGGGCTGGGGGATCTTTGAAACTGCAAAAAGACATGTACAGCCTGTTTTATGACTCGAGTGGCTGTGAACTACTGTGTGCCTGACTGTTGTGTGCCTATTAGGGAATAGAACCTGGGTCCAAACAGCCAGACCAGTCCTGGGTCTGCGCCACATGACTTATGTTGTATCCCTGTGCAATCCGGGACCAGTAACGCATACAGTATGTTCTATTTTATGAACCCTCTAAATTGTAATAAAACCATTGAATAGAATAAAAAAAGATTCACTTAATGATGTACTGTAGATATTTTTTAAAGCGGACAGAGATGAATCTTTTTCAAAGAATAGAAATAGCGAATGAACAATTTCCAGTTGCAATATGACACATACCGGCACGGAGTTCCAGGTTAACACAGCAATCATAACTCTTTGCTTTTCCATTAGGCACATTAGAGTCCTCTTGATGATTTGAGTCCTTTTAATGACTAGAGACATATTAATGATTTGAGTCACTTTTCCAGGATTTGTGCACAAATGATGCAAAGACACCCACCACCAGACTTGAATGGGAACGTGCAGAATGTCCAGCAATTGCAGGACTCATGTCAGCAGCAACAGAGGACGTACTGCAAACAAATGCAGAACATGAATTTGTTCTCCAGTATATATCACGTCGCAAAAGAAAAGCTCAGCCCAAATCTGCAGAGGAAAAAGCAAGTTAAAGATGAGCTCCGGGGAAAGGTGCAAACTCCTAATATCCAGCCAAAGTAAACATTTACTGGAAATCACTGAACTTATTTTTGTACTTTGCTACCTTTTTTATTACTTGTACTTGTGTAGTTATTTGTTATGTGTAGTGCCCTCCTAGTTAGGCTGCTAGTTTTGGCTTCTCCGGTAATCACAGGAGCAACGATTGTTTGGTCTGCTTAGAACTTCACAGGCTGAGAGTTTGATTGCTTCCCCCTGCCTTTAGAAGAAATTTCCAGAACTGAGGGCGAGAGAATTCAAATGATCAGTTGGAATATCCAGCAGGGCCTAGCCAATCCCTGGGGAGGTGTGCCCAGACGGGGGATAGGTTGCCGAAAATAGTTTGTAGCCCTGATGAGTTGTTTTTTTTCCCTCTGTGCTGATGGATCAATGAGTTGAGAGGAGCTGCCTTCCCCTGGAGCCCGATGGACTGAATAATGGACTACCTTGCATAGCCTGCACCTATGGACAGTCTATGTACCAGGATCGAGCGAGCAAAGGGGGTAACACTACATATGTTTACTTTTTTTATCCTTTGCCAATATGTCTGTTCAGTGGACAGCTGGGGAGCCTGCAGTGGAATTTATAATGAGAGATGGTAGTAGACTTCATCAAGCGCTATAAAATAATACTGGTGTGCAGATTTTTACTTCAAATTTTAAACTTGAGCCTAAAATGGCATTAAACCGAAAAACAAAAATGTTATCTACTGTATTGCAGGATACCAGTCTTTAGATAAGATCTGGCCAGTAACACATCTCGTGTCTTAGGATGTCTGCATTCTGGACGGAGGAGCAATATAGAAACCCTTGAACAGCAGCATTGTCAGTCTGGGGAGAGATGAGTGTTAGATTGACTAGCAGATTTAGATGGACTTGACTAACAAATTAAAGCCAAACTCCAACACTTTGTAAACCGTTTTTTTTTTTTTTTTCTTTTGGGATAAAAGTTTTACATAAATAAAATGTAACCATTGTAAGCACCCCTGTCAGTGGTAAATGGTACGTCTCAACCCTCTAACTCAAGGGTGCTCAACTGTCTTGATATGGGGGGGGCTCAAAATGCGGCCCCTGACATCACCAAAGGGCCACACATAAAATTAAGTGAATATTCAGTCTCAGAGACAGCAGACACACAAGGGGATATAGGACATGACACAAGAGATGATCAGAGGCTGCAGACATGCTAGAAGAGATGATCAGAGACTGCAGACATGATGCAAGAGATGATCAGAGACTGTGCAGACATGACGCAAGAGATGACCAGAGGCTGCAGACATGACACAAGAGATGATCAGAGATTGCAGACACGACACAAGAGATGATCAGAGACTGCAGACATGATAAAAGTGATGGTAAGAGACTGTGGACATGATACAAGAGATGACCAGAGACTGCAGACATGATGCAAGAGATGATCAGAGACTGTGCAGACATGACGCAAGAGATGACCAGAGGCTGCAGACATGCTACAAAAGTTGATCAGAGACTGCGGACATAATTCAAAAAATGATCAGAGACTGCGGACATGACAAAAGAGATGATCAGAGATTACAGACGTGATACAGAGATGATCAGAGACTGCAGACATGATATAAGAGATGGTCAGGGACTGTGGACATGATACAAGAAATGATCAGAAACTGCAGACATGACATAGGTGATGATCAGAGACTGTGGATATGACACAAGAGATGATAAGAGACTGTGGACATGACACAAGAGATGATCAGAGACTGTGGACATGACACAAGAGATGATCAGAGACTGTGCAGACATGACGCAAGAGATGACCAGAGGCTGCAGACATGAAATAGGTGATGATCAGAGACTGTGGATATGACCCAAGAGATGATCAGAGACTGTGGACATGACACAAGAGATGATAAGAGACTGTGGACATGACACAAGAGATGATCAGAGACTGTGCAGACATGACGCAAGAGATGACCAGAGGCTGCAGAGATGCTACAAAAGTTGACCAGAGACTGCAAACATAATGCAAGAGATGATCAGAGACTGTGAAGACATGACGCAAGAGATGACCAGAGGCTGCAGACATGCTACAAAAGTTGATCAGAGACTGCGGACATAATTCAAGAAATGATCAGAGACTGCAGACATGACAAAAGAGATGATCAGAGATTACAGACGTGATACAGAGATGATCAGAGACTGCAGACATGATATAAGAGATGATAAGAGACTGTGGACATGACACAAGAGATGATCAGAGACTGTGGACATGATACAAGAGATGATCAGAAACTGCAGACATGAAATAGGTGATGATCAGAGACTGTGGATATGACACAAGAGATGATAAGAGACTGTGGACATGACACAAGAGATGATCAGAGACTGTGGATATGACACAAGAGATGATAAGAGACTGTGGACATGACACAAGAGATGATCAGAGACTGTGGACATGATACAGGAGATGGTCAGAGACCATCATTGCCAGTTTGATTAGACAAGCAGAAACTGGCAGTGGTTGGCTTTTACTTTATCTACTATATGTTTTGTCAGTGGAGGTATAAGAAAGCATCCCAGTGGGAAATAAACTACTGACTGGGGGAGTCCACTTTGGGACCTTGGGGTGTATTTATAAAAAGTTCACAGAGCTATTAGTGCTGTGAAACGGCATGTTAATTCTGTGCAAATGAAGGCAAAAAAGTTATTAGGCTATTTTCTCTCCAGGTCAAATGTTTTTTTTCATTCATACACAATAGAATTAATCAAGAAAATACTGTTTATGGCCACTAGATGGAGCTGATGGGATAGGGATTAAGTACTTATTCTTTCTTCTTCACTTTCTTCTTTATGAATGAAAGACATTCAACCTGAAGAGAAAATAGCCTATTGCCATTCGTATTTGCCTAGGACAAATGTACATGCAATTTCACAGAACAAATAGGTCTTCAATTTTTTTTTATATAAATATACCCCGTTCGGGCCCTGTGTTGATGGACTTTTATTTGCTTCAGACGGGCTTTACATCCAATAAAGGTCTACAGGAATGCAAGAGAACAAACTGCAGGTCAAATGCACCTGTCTAGGAATTCTGAATGATCTCAGAAGCATCCTATAGAGATGTCATCAACACAAGCCCAAGGCCCATCGACAAAAGCCTATATTTTGGGGGTTGAATGGAGAAATCAGAAAACTCATGTCCGTCTCTGATGATGCCAATAGAACCCACTGGTGACCACCCAACATTCGGCATAGTTGGCTTTTAACACGACACAGCTGGGTGAAGAAATGAGCCGTTGGCACCTCGGTGGACATATTTTCGATTTCTTGAGCTTCCTAAGAGGCGCTTTTCACTTTATGGTAACCTGACCATATCTGCCAGCAATGACTGGAGAATTACAGCATGTTCATTGATAATAAAACTGATTTATCACTTAATGAAAAGTGAAGCAAATTGCTTGGCCAGGAAGCATGATTCAAACATTACGCCAGCATCCAGTATTTACCTTTCTTTCTATGGGATTGGAACAAAAACCGCTGAAGCCAGCGAAACTGGGAGGAAGAGGATTAACCCCTGCCGCTCATAATTCACCTCCTTTAGTGAAACATAACGTTCCCAATGAACTATTAATCAATGGTACAATGTGGGGAGGGAGCTTGGGCCGCACATGAATTACGATCACAAAGTGATTCATATCTGTGTTCGGATCTGTAGATTACAGTGTAAAAATGTTTAATTAATCCCTAGTTATTGATTGCCCAGGTATAATGCTTTGGTGTTTTAAGGCAGATAATAGCAGATATGAATCTACCATACGAGATGACGGCTCCAAGAATAACATTATTTTCACGGCTGCCAGATGAGCCAGGCCCAACCTGTAATGGGTAACGATCTTCACATGGAGTTTGCTAACTCAATGATTGTCAACGTTATTGAGACCAGGGCCCTATAAAACAATCCAAAACCTCCAACAGCAAAAAAAACTTTATAGTTACACAACAAAAGTATGGGGATGAAAAACATGTATTGATACGTGGGAGTTTGGGGAGGTTGAGTGGCACTGCAGGACACTATGAGAGATTGGGGGGCATTATGGAAAGTTAAGGGATCTGCGAATGGCTGGAGGCGCAACCCGGGAGTTGAGAACCACTGGGCTAACTTGTTCTGCTTTTTCATGTTCTACAACCAACATGTGGGGTCCATGCATCTCAAACATGTGTTGAAGGAAATACTTGCACTTGGCATATCCCAAGCATATATGGATAGCACTTCTGTTTTAGTTAAGCCAATAAAATTAGGCTGCATTTGTAAGTTACAACGCGTTTCAACCCTGCCTGGTGTAATGTCGAGGACTTACAGTTGTAGCTTGATGGGGCATCATTCCTCTCACAGACACCAATGATGGGGCACCATTCTTCCCACAGACACCAATGATGGGGCACCATTCCTCCCATAGATACCAATGATGGGGCACTATTCATCCCATTGTCAATAATGATGGGGCACCATTCCTCCCACAGACACCAATGCTGGGGCACCATTCCTCCCACAGACACCAATGATGTGGCACCATTCCTCCCACAGATAGCAATGATGGGGCACCATTCTTCCCACAGACACCAATGATGGGGCACTATTCCTCCCACAGATACCAATGATGGGGCACCATTCCTCCCACAGATACCAATGATGTGGCACCATTCCTCCCACAGACACCAATGATGGGGCACTATTCCTCCCACAGACACCAATGATGGGGCACTATTCCTCCCACAGATACCAATGATGGGGTACCATTCTGCCAACAGATACCAATGATGGGGCACTATTCCTCCCACAGACACCAATGATGGGGTACCATTCCTCCCACAGATACCAATGATGGGGCACCATTCCTCCCACAGATACCAATGATGGGGCTCCATTCCTCCCACAGATACTGTTCCAATGATGGGGCACCATTCCTCCCACAGATACCAATGCTGTGGCACCATTCCTCCCACAGATAGCAATGATGGGGCACCATTCTTCCGACAGACACCAATGATGGGGCACTATTCCTCCCACAGACACCAGTGATGGGGTACTCTTCTTCCCTTGAATACCAACAATGAGAAGTTATTCCTCCCACTAAAACCAAAGATGAGGCATTGTTAACTTCCACTGATGCCAGGGTATTTTCTACTCCCACTAGCCACAGTGCGGCCCCCTTAAAGCCTGAAGGACAGTAAATTGGCCCTTTGTTTATAAAGTTTGGAGACCTCTGGTCTAGGGAATGGTAAAGCAGTTTTATTTACGTAATCCTCTTCTCCAGCAGACGTCACTCTCCTCTTCCCTACACTGCAACAGTGGACTATCCCTTGGTGCCCCACATCCAAAGCATGGCTAAGGGCTTTGCATTGGACATGATGATGTCAGAAGACCTGTGATTGCTAGGGCATAGGGGTGAAGAGACTGTGGGGACCAGGCTTAGAGCATGGAAAGAGGAGGATTGAGTAAGTATAACTGCTTTCTGAGGCCCCCTAGTCCTAAACGAGCATTTAACTTAGCAGTGCGGGGAAACTCCCTGGAGTTCAGGTTTAATGGCTTTTTTAAGTTTTATCCCTTTAATAGGCTTATGATGTGCTAATCACATGAACTGTATTTATCCTCAAATACGGAATTTAAGATCATACAGGGTGAAAGCAAGTTTTGGAACAGCCACTTCAGTCTTAAGAGTGTATTTATAGTGAAAAAAAATGTCATAGAAAATTAGCATCCAGAAAAATTGCTGGTACATTTGTTTTGAGTGAATGGGGCAAAATCGAATGCTACTAGGATATTTTCTGTCCAGGTCAGATGTTCTGCATGCATAAGAATACTTTGAATTGGGAAAATATTGCATTATGGCCTCTAGATGGAGCTGGCAATTATAGTAAATAAGTATTTATTTTCTATGATCCTCAGCTCCATCTAGTGGCCATAATGCAGTATATTCCCAAACATCTATATTTTCTATGAATAACATTCAACCTGTAGAGTAAATTGAAGGAAAACATTAAATATTGCACCAGCTCCAACCAACTCACTGGAAAGGTCTATATGTTCTTCTTTGGGAAAGTCAGGAAAATATCATTGGCCTGCATCTTGAGGGCACTTCTCTTGCTTCTGTAATCTGCCTGTAATGAAGATCCACCAAGTTCCATTAGCCATCCATCCTCCAATGACCTTCTGCTCACTCAGCACCAGTACACCTCCACCAACTCAAGGACTTTTCTTGTATGATCTCTGTGCACCCCCCACCCCTCCCTCTCAATTCAATGGCATTATCAAAGAAAGGTTCAGAGTCTTTCCTATGCAAGAGAGATTCCCTTCTAACTAAATTTCAATCACCCAAATCAATTCATTTCCAAGTTCTTTAGAAAATATCAAATCTATGATTGTACAGATATCAAACTAAAGTGCAATTATGGAACTTTTTCTCCATCCTAGATCCCTGATTACGGCTCTCGATATTCCAAATCTGACCCTGTCCTTCCACATTACAATCACAACATGGAAATGTAGCTCAGATATCTTTTAATTGTAGCATATAATGTGATTTTTTACAGCTTAAGTTCAATGAATTGGAAATACATTAATGAGATGGAGTTTTAAAGTAATTTACAGCAAATGAGGAACCTCAGGTGAAGCCTCAAGTCAAGCTATCAATTGTAACTAGACACATCGGCATTTTACACTCCTAAACAACTCTTATAGGTCCTGTCCCTCTCTCATCCCTTGACTGTGGAAGAGTAGCAGCAGACTGATTTCCCTCTCACTCCGCTTTCTCCTCCTATCAGCATGTTCCTTGGTAATGCCTAATTGACTCCTTGTGATGCATCACCCTCTCCTAGTTTTAGCTCTGCTGCACATCAACTGCAAGAGGATGATATCAAGTCACATTCATGTACTCACACTGCTTGCATTAAAAATGCTAAGAAATACAGGACTGCATTAATGTGTATCTTTTATATCCACTTAAAGTTCAGCCCTAACTATATATTATCCACAAGAGTATAAAATTTCATGAAGCCTCATGATTGAAAATGTATGAAAAATTAACAGTCCTTATTGTAGCAACCAGTCAGATTCTTCCCTTTATAATTTTAGAGCAGCCTTTCTCAACCAATTTGTCCAAAAGGATCCCTTGAAATAACTTGGAGGTCTCAGGGAATCCTTGCTAAAACCAAATTATTTGGAGTAAGGGGGGAAATGCCCCTTGTATTGGTGGTAACTGGGAAGATTGCCCCGTTTACAGTGTCAGAATGCCACCCTTACGAAAAGACCATTGGCGCTATGACGTTGACTGCTGCCAAGTGGTATTGTCCCCAAAATTTTGCAGACACCATCAGATGGGAGGTCAATCATCCACAGCTCAAGGAACCTTTGGAGGAACCCTAGGAACCCTGGTTGAGGATAGCTGTTCTAGAGCAAAATTACAACATTGAGTACTTTCCGAGACAAGCAACGGCAAGAAGAATGCAGAGGATGACGTTCCCCGCTTTTCTCATTGTATTACTCTTGCCATTTCTTGTTTCGGGAAAGTGCTCACAAAGCTGTGTGGGGGTTTTTTTCTTGCCCTGACATACAATTTTCCTTTTCCTTTTTTTTTTTTACTTAATTTTTATTGAAAATTTTCAGGTATCCAAACAATATCTGCATATAAAGGCAGCAAGAGACCTAGCATTGGCGAGGGTACAGCAAGGCTAAGAGTAAGGCCAACAGCAAAAAAGGTCATTGGCGCTATGACGTTGACTCTGCCAAGCGGGATTGTCCCCAAAAATGTGCAGACACCATCAGATGGGAGGTCAATCATCCACAGCTCAAGGAACCTTTGGAGGAACCCTAGGAACTCTGGTTGAGGATAACTGTTCTAGAGCAAAATTACAGCATGAAAGGAAGATCCTGACTGCTTACTTTTGGCAACAAGGACATTGTTACTTTCAGAGGCTTCTATTGGTGGGGTCCTTTGTGTTTTTTTTAATGACTGATACATAAAGCGTTAAGCGTCAGATGAAGCCCTGTGGAGCGGAACGCGGCTCTGTACATTGAAGGAGTACTGGAAGGGAGAGGAGGGGACCTAACAGGTGGAGAAGGTTTTCCAGAAGAAGTTTTTGCACATGCCCTTCTCCCGAGCCATGGGAGGGTTGTACATGGATCTTTGTGGTCTGTACTGCAACTCCGGATCTTCGTTGTTCATGGAGTCCGCTTCGGCCCACGGTGACGCCCAGTCCAGTATGGCCAAAAGTACATTCACAAGGTTGTTTTTCTTCACCTCATCTATTTCCTACAGCAAATCAAGAAAATAAATCAAATGATTGATGACAAAGGTCAAACAGCTTCATTTCAAATAGTTATACAAGATCTATTGATGAATTTGGTAAAGTTCTTTCCTCTACGTAGCACTTTGTTCCATTTTTCTAAGGGTTCATATACACTGCAGCTGATAAACTCACGTTTAGAAGCTTTTCTGTGTTTTTTTCAGCAGCCCCTGAACTCTCCCTAATGTTTTCCTATGTGTCCATGTACACATCGTCGTTTATAGTCGTTTACAGGCAGTTGAGTTTACAGTAATTTTATGAACGCACCAAACTTGCGTTCAGGAGTAGATTTTATCAGCGTTTCAAACGCCAAATTCTTGTAAGCGCGTTTGCTTTTAGAAGCGTTTTTTAACTGTTCCATATCCAGATGTTGTCCAGAGCCTTTTTTCATCATCAGAAATGCATGCAAAGCGTTTTCCATGTATTCAAATGGACCCGGTACACCAGCGCAATCAGTTCCAGGTTTTGCGTGAAGGAAAAAATGGTAGAACGTGTCGCATTATTCTCATGATGGGATCCATAGTGAATACAACCAGAAAAGACAGGTCATCTCAACACATACTGCTCTCTCTGCTTCTGCTCTCTCTATTCCTCTCAAAATGTCTGAAATAGTTAATTTTTTACTGTTTTTCAGTGAATTCAGGGCATTTTGGAAGGCCTCCTGAGGTTATCTTTAAAAAAAAAACACTTCTAAACGCAAACGCTCATAAATGCAGTGTGCAAACGCAGCTAAACAGACGTTTTATAACCTCCGTTTTCCAACAGTCAGTTTCCATCGTTCAGAAGTGTTTTCCAAACGTCCCGTGTACATGGAGCCTGAGTGTATTCTATCCCTAGGTATGAGGTCCCACCTGCCCCCTCCTCCCCTCCTGCCGCAGCTGATCTGGCAACAGCTATGAAGGAGATGGCTGATTCATAGCTGCAGCTCATCTCAACTCTGAAAAATGGTGACAGGGGAGGGATCTCCAGCAGATTGACAGCCTCATCTCTGTTCCTGTGTACTGTGTGAAGGGGGGGTGTACATGTATACAGGACTTGAAGCACCAAGATGGCGTCAGCCCGGTGGTGTCCCTTCCCTCCAATCAGCTCTCAGAGCTCTCCTCACTGAGCTCTGCAGTGTGTAATTTTAGTTCTCCGCCCCTTGCTTTCTGAACTCTCAGACAAAGCTTTATAAATTCAGTACTTTGAACACATGTAGAGAAGAGATGGCATAGATAAACAGGTACAACGTATGCAGGAAGATTTGTTTTCTCTCTGTGAGGCCAGTCACTACACTGGGTTTATGTGAGAGTTTACAAGCACTGCAAAGTAACGACAACCCATGGAAGAGCAACACCCAACAGCTGCAGGTTATTATTATTATTATTATTATTATACAGGATTTATATATTATTATTATACAGGATTTATATATTATTATTATTATATTATACAGGATTTATATATTATTATTATTATACAGGATTTATATATTTATTATTATTTATTATACAGGATTTATATATTATTATTATTATTATTATACAGGATTTATATATTATTATTATACAGGATTTATATAGCGCCAGCAGTTTGCTCAGCGCTTTACAATATAACGGGAGACAATACAGCAACAATACAGTTCAATACAAGAGGGATAGGAGGGCCCTGCTCCTCGGAGCTTACAATCTAAGATGAGTTTCAGTTGCTTTTTTTCTGCATCCAAAACGCACAGAAAGTAGGTTATATGGTTGTCAGTGTCATAATTCACATCAGTGCTTGCAGTTCCAGTGCATGTTGGTTGCAGAATAAAAAGTAGAACAGGCTGCATTTTTCCTGCACAGAACTGTAGTGGAACGCGGTAAAACGCATCAAAAACACACTGGAACACACCAAAACGCACCAAAACTGGAATGCACATGTGCCTATGAGCTTACAATCTAAGAGGGAGGGGCTGGGTGGTACAAAAGGTACTAACTGTGGGGGAGGGATTGGTAGAAGGAATAGAAGATTCGGTTATTAGCTGACGGCAGGATAGGCTTCCCTGACGAGATAGGTTTTCAGAAATCGCCTAAAAGTGAGCAGAGTAGGCGATAGTCTGATAGATTGGGGTAGAGAGTTCCAGAGGATGAGGGAGGCTCTGGAGAAGCCCTGGAGATGAGCATGGGAGGAGGAGAACGGTTTGTATCTAATAAAGATATTTTTTTATAAAATTTAGAAATCAGTATTTGAGTTTTTTACTTGTGTTTTAGATTTACTGATCCTTTAATCAAAAGCAACATGTTTGTTTCATCTCTTTGACTAATCCCCCCTCCCCCCCTCCTTCTAAAATTATTCCCAGTCCTTAAAAACTCTCCAAATTAAACCAATTCCCTAGCGGTACGGAAAAATAAATGATGACAACTCGTTGTTTGATTTAATTTCCAGGCAAGTTAATATGTTACATTTGCGACTCCTGCAACTAAATCTTCGGCAAATGGATCTTTTTTTTTTTTTTTTTCGCTTCCCCAGACGCACCGGTTGCCTTGATTTAAGCCCGCGGCATTTGATAACGGTGAAATCAGATAATTTTACTTTTCTCTCTTCCTACACAGATGTTAGTAAAATGGGACAGAGAGAACAAATCAAGGGCCTAATGATTGTGTGGCCCCATTATTTTTGTGTGACATCAGTGGTTCTTTAAAGACGCGGGCCCTAACCTTTTCTACATCACTCTGCCTGCGATTCGGAAGAAAATGACAAATTCTGACAGATAATGTACTGCCAAGCTCCGAGGCTGCACTTTGGCGTACCATTTTAATGTAATAACCCGCTTTAATGGTTACATTTATGGACTGTTTCCTGGAACTTTTTCAAAAAAATGGAAAAAAAAAAAAAAAAAAAAAAAAAAAAAAAGAAAGCAAATGAATCTCTGAAATAGGAGCCTGTAAAACGGAGGGGATTTAATTAACTGCACGGGCCGCAGCCTGTGTCCAAATGCGCAATTCCATCTTTCTTGCATAACTTTATTTTAGCATTGATTTCCTTTCAATTCACCTTGGTTTTATGCCTGATGCCGTCTCCTATTAGGTTAGACATATAAAGGCACTTATCTGAGGGCGGCGGCCATGTTGTACGCCGCGTCCCTGCAGGTGGACGCATCTTAAATGGCTCTACTAATCTGACTTTTAATGTGGAAAGAGATCTCGAAAGGCGGATTTATTGGAATAATGCTTCCAGAAATACAACTAACAGGCTTAAAGCTGATCTCCAGGCTGAATATATAGTTACATACTTTATAAGGTGGAAAAGGAGACTGAGGTCCATCCAGTTCAAACGACTGGACTTTACTTCCCAATTCCCATTGCCCTGTATATGCAGTTTAAATGGTTTTTGAAGTTGCAGACATTCTCAGCTAATACCACTTCTTTAAAGCGGGAGTTCCACATTTGTAATTCTCTTACAGTAAAGAACCCTTCCTGCAATCTAAAGTTAATGTGTTACTAAACCCACAACAGTAAAATTAGTCTGTATATGCAGTAAAGCAAGCTTGTTATACAAACTGTGGAACCTAAGGGGTTAATTCCCATGGCCCTGTATAGGCAGTTTCCTGAAAAGCCATCTAAAAGTTTTTTTTGAAGTTGCGGACATTCTCAGCTAATACCACTCTTTAAGGAAGGAGTTCAACATTTCTACTGCTCTTACAGTAAAGAACCCTTTCTGCAATCTAAAATTAAAGTGTTACTAAACCCACAGCAGTAAAATTAGTCTGTATATACAGTAAAACATGTTTGTTATACTCACTGTGGAAGCTAAGGGGTTAATTCTCATCGTCCTGTATATGCAGTTTAAAAAAGCCATGTTTTTTGAAGTTGCGGATATTCTCAGCTAGTACCACTTCTTTAAGGCGGAGTTCCACATTTGTAATTGCTCTTACAGTAAAGAACCCTTTCTGCAATCTAAAGTTAATGTGTTACTAAACCCACAACAGTAAAATCAGTCTGTATATGCAGGTAAATCAAGCTTGTTATACTCAAACTGTGGAACCTAAGGGGTTAATTCCCATCGCCCTGTATATGCAGTTTCCTGAGAAAGACATCTAAAAGTTTTTTTGAAGTGTGGACATTCTCAGCTAATACCACTTCTTTAAGGAAGGAGTTCAACATTTCTACTGCTCTTACAGTAAAGAACCCTTTCTGCAATCTAAAATTAAAGTGTTACTAAACCCACAACAGTAAAATCAGTCTGTATATGCAGTAAAGCAAGTTTGTTATATTCACAGTGGAACCTAAGGGGTTAATTCCCATCGTCCTGTATATGCAGTTTAAAAGACATGTTTTTTTTTTAAGTTGCGGACATTCTCAGCTAATACCACTTCTTTAAGGCGGGAGTTCCACTGTTGTACTGCTCTTACAGTAAAGACCCCTTTCTGCAATCTAAAGTCAAAGTGTTACTAAACCCACAGCAGTAAAATCAGTCTGTATTTTATTTTATTTTTTTTTATTTCAGGTACTTATATAGTGCTGTCAATTTATGCACAGCACTTTACATATATATTGTACATTCACATCAGTCCCTAACCCTCAAGGGGTGTACAATCTAAGGTCCCTAACTTACATTAGTTATACATATTAGGGCCAATTTAGACAGGATCCATTTAACCTACCAGCATGTCTTTGGAGTGAGTGGGGAGGAAGCTGGAGTAGCTGGAGGAAACCCCATACAGGGCACAGGGAGAACATACAAACTCCAGGCAGGAGGTGCTGTGGCTGGGATTTGAACCAGCAACCCTAGTACTGGCAAGTGGAAGTGCTAACCATTCAGCCACTGTGCTGCCCATATATGCAGTAAAGCATGCTTGTTATATTCACTGTGGAACCTACGGGGTTAATTCCCATCGCCCTGTATATGCAGTTTCCTGAGAAAGACATCTAAACGTTTTTTTGAAGCTGTGGACATTCTCAGCTAGTACCACTTCTTTAAGGAGGGAGTTTCACATTTGTACTGCTCTAACAGTAAAGAACCCTTTCTGCAATCTAAAGTTAAAGTGTTTACTAAACCCACAACAGTACGATCAGTCTGTATATGCAGTAAAGCATGCTTGTTATACTCACTGTGGAAGCTAAGGGGTTAATTCCCATTGCCCTGTATATGCAGTTTAAATGTTTTTTGAAGTTGTGGACATTCTCAGCTAGTACCACTTCTTTAAGGAGGAAGTTCCACATTTCTACTGCTCTAACAGTAAAGAATTCTTTCTGCAATCTAAAGTTAAAGTGTTACTAAACCCACAACAATAAAATCACTCTGTGTATGCAGTAAAGCAAGCTTGTTATATTCACTGTGGAACCTAAGGGGTTAATTCCCATGGTCCTGTATATGCAATTTACTGAGAAAGACATCTAAATTTTTTTTAAGCTGTGGACATTCTCAGCTAATACCACTTCTTTAGGGCGGGAGCTTCCACATTTGTACTGCTCTTACAGTAAAGAACACTTTCTGCAATCTAAAGTTAACGTGTGACTAAACCCACAGCAGTAAAATCAATCTATATATGCAGTAAAGCATGCTTGTTATACTCACTGTGGAACCTAAGGGGTTAATCATCTGCATTGTGTAAAAAGGCTGTTTGATCCTTTCCTCTCTGATCCTCCCCTTCTTCTACTGTCCCCAATCCATCTGCTGATAGTACAGAGCCTTGGGGGCAAGCTGCTCATGCTCAGTTTGGTGTGTATTGCTAGAGATTTTTACTTTCTTGGGAGAGTGCATGTGATCAGCACAGGGCCAATCAGCACTGTCCAGACAGAGGGAGAATGAAAACTCCTCCTACAAGCTTTAACCAGTGCTCTGCTGAAGTCACAAGACTGCTCTAAATGTTGATGAGAAAAGGTATTTAGCAGTTTATATTTACTAAAATAATTGCATTTCCATGTTCTGTGTACTGTGGGAGACCAGATATAGTGAATGCAGGGTCCAGGGGAGACCAGATATAGTGAATGCAGGGTCCGGGGAGACCAGATATAGTGAATGCATGGTCCTGGGAGACCAGATATAGTGAATGCGGGTCCGGGGAGAGCGGATATAGTGAATGCAGGGTCCGGGGAGACCAAATATAGTGAATGCAGGGTCCTGGGAGAGCGGATATAGTGAATGCAGGGTCCGGGGAGACCAGATATAGTGAATGCAGGGTTCGGGGAGACCAGATATAGTGAATGCAGGGTCCAGGGCAGGGTCTGAGAGCCGGATATAGTGAATGCATGGTCCTGGGAGAGCGGATATAGTGATTGCAGGGTCCAGGGAGACCAGATATAGTGAATGCAGGGTCCGGGAGACCGGATGTAGTGAATGCAGGGTCCGGGGAGACCAGAATAGTGAATGCAGGGTCCGTGGGAGAGCAGATATAGTGAATGCAGGGTCCGGGGAGACAGATATAGTGAATGCATGGTCCTGGGAGAGCAGATATAGTGAATGCAGGGTCCGGGAGACCGGAATATAGTGAATGCAGGGTCCGGGAGACCAGATATAGTGAATGCAGGGTCCGGGGAGACCGGATATAGTGAATGCAGGGTCCGGGGAGACCGATGTAGTGAATGCAGGGTTCCGGGGAGAGCGGATATAGTGAATGCAGGGTCCGGGGAGACCAGATATAGTGAATGCAGAGTGCAGGAGACCGGATATAGTGAATGCAGGGTCCGGGAGAGCCAGATATAGTGAATGCAGAGTCCGGGGAGACCAGATATAGTGAATGCAGGGTCCGAGGAGAGCGATATAGTGAATGCAGAGTCCTGGGGAGACCAGATATAGTGAATGCAGGGTCCAGGGAGACCAGATATAGTGAATGCAGGGTCCAGGGAGAACGATATAGTGAATGCAGGGTCCTGGGAGACCAGATATAGTGAATGCAGGGTCCGGGAGAGCGGATATAGTGAATGCAGAGTCCTGGGAGACCAGATATAGTGAATGCAGGGTCCAGGGAGACCAGATATAGTGAATGCAGGGTCCGGGAGACCAGATATAGTGAATGCAGGGTCCAGGGAGACCAGATATAGTGAATGCAGGGTCCAGGGAGACCAGATATAGTGAATGCAGGGTCCGGGGAGACCAGATATAGTGAATGCAGGGTCCCAGGGAATGTGGATATAGTTAGTGCGGGGTCTGGGGAGACCAGATATAGTGAATGCAGGGTCCGGGAGACCAGATATAGTGAATGCAGGGTACGGAGAAAGCGGATATAGTGAATGCAGGGTCCGGGGGGGGGCGGATATAGTGAATGCAGGGTCCGGGGGGGCGGATATAGTGAATGCAGGGTCCTGGGTTTAGTAACACTTTAAACCTCCCTCCATTTCAACCAATGTGTGTGATTTTAATTCTCTAACAATTCCCATAGCTCTGTATATTCTGCTTCCTGGGGAAGGCATCCAAATGTTTTTTGAAGTTGTGGACAGTCTCAGCTAGTACCACTTCTTGAGGGAGGAGTTCCACATTTTTGCTGCACTAACAGTAAAGAATCCTTTTTGAAATCTTAGGTTTAACCTTCTTTCTCCTAACCTCCAGTGGTGGCTGTGTGTCCTGTTCAGGGACCTTAGAGTAGGGATAGCTGTCAGGAGTGCGTGTAAATCTGACAAGCCGGCTGTTGGCTGTCAGATGGAAGAGACAGAGCGGCTGTACCCGATTGCTTCCACACACCCCTGTAACTGCCGTTTGCTGATTCTCCCTTCCGATTAATAACCTGGAAGCACATGCAAAAAATCGCTTCCAAGTCCTAGAGTCCCATTCCCCAGCCAGTGAGGCACGGTAAGAAGCTATGGCTCGGTTCACACCTATGCAGTTTGCGTTTGTTCCATTTCTGCAGTGCTTTTTGTGGTGTGTTTTTGTGTTTTTGCACATGCCTTTTTGACATGTTTTGCTGCATTTTTTTTCCAATTTGTTGCTGCAGATTAAAATGCATCAAAATCACATCAAAAACACACTATATGCATTTCTGCAGTGTCTCCATTGAAGTCTATTGAACCAAAACTGAACCTTTGGCATTTTAGAAAGTCCTTGACCCTTTACAAAAAACGCAGCGGGTGAAAACACGGAGATGTGAACGTGTCCCATGGGAAATCATGTTAAATGGACTGTACTGTGTTTCTGCAAAATGCAAAACGCTGCAGAAAATGCTTAGGTGTGAACCCAGACTAATGGAGCGCGATCTGCTCTTCCTTAGTGTCATTGGAGGGCAGTTGAGACATCAGCGTTCTTTCTTTTAGGGCCGGGTCACACTATAGAAATGCAGTCCAGATGCGTTCCGGATGCGTTTCCACGCATGTTTTTTACGCATTCCGGTTAGTTTTTGATGTGTTTTTGATGTGTTCCGGTGCATTTTTTATGCATTACAGTTCTTTTTTCCTCCCTCTATTTTTCTTCATTTTCAGTACAGACATGTGCATTCCAGTTTTGGTGCATTTTGGTGCGTTACAGTGCGTTTTTGATGTGTTTTACCATGTTCCACTACAGTTCTGTGCAGAAATAAAATGCAGCCTGCTCTACTTTTTTTTTTTCCCAATTAATTTTGTTATATACAACACAACAACAGAGAAACAGTTCTCTACTTTTATTCTGCAACCAGAACGCACTTTAACCGCAAGCACTGATGTGAACTATGACACTGACAGCCATATCACCTACTTTCTGTGCTTTTTGGATGCAGAAAAAAAGCAACTGGACCGCACGTGGTGTGAACTGGCCCTTAGACCTCTGATGTCTCCTTAAGGTCCCCATTCACATTTGGGCAATTAGAAATCGCAACCAGAATCGGCGTGATTCTGACCATGATTTCAAACCGTGGCAACATGCGCATTTGGGTTCCATTCTTCCTAAATTATACCCCAAAAGCAGCGTGATTTTGCCACAACAGAAAACTCAAGAAAAGGGCAAAACACGTGTAAAAAAAAGTGCCCGGCTCAAAGCCAAAATCTGGTCCCTAAGCTCCTTTGCTGTGACAAATGCACATAGTGAATCAGCTGCCCTATACTGAACACACACATGACAATTGCCCACACGAGTTCCCACTACGTAGAATGTGAACGGAGCTAAAGAGAACCTGTCACCAAAAGAAAATAGGGGGAAAAAGTCACATAGTGGACAAAAAATACAGTTTAGTGAAAAAAAAATGTTTAAAAAAATAAAGTTACAACTAAGCACATGAACCCACGCCCAGGGGCGGACTGACCATTTGGAAACTCGGGCACTGCCCGAGGGCCCGGGGTCAGTAGGGGGCCCCATGAGATGCCCCTGGTACCTTTTTCATAGGCTTTTTTGAGTTTGGGCAAGGACACAGGGGCCCCATGATCCCCTATTGCCCGGGGGCCCCATGAGTTGTCAGTCCGCCCCTGCCCACGCCAAAACATTTATGAGCCCCGCCCCCCCACCTCCTACACATGTGCAAACCAAAATATACACGTCGGGGGCACATACACATGAAAAGGTTGGTTGGATACATGTTACCCCCGGTTCACATCTATGCGGCCGGGCGGCCGTGTTTTGCACGGGCACGAGAGCCCATTCATTTGAATGGACTCCCATGCCCGTGACACGCAGGGAAGAAGTCCCTGCACTTGTTTGGAAAAGGCAACCTCGGTTCCCAGTACGGTTGCGTTTCCCAGTGCGGGCGGCGTGCCATTAGAACTAATGTCACCCATCCGCGGGTCCGCAATTCTCTGTGCGGGTGGTCGGTTGCACGGATTTTCGTGCGGATCGGCAGTGGCACCACCCGCACAGATGTGAACCTAGGGTTAGAGTGACAGCAAGAATTCTAGGCTCATTACTTACAGTTCACCTCCGTCACATCAAAGCTGATTTTGAAATTGTATGACTTACAGTGAAGATTTGAATCAGAATAATCCTCATAAGTCTGGTGGGGGAAGAATGGCGCCAAATTTATTATGTTACTTTTTTCATCTACCAGAATGTCTTTGGAGTGTGGGAGGAAACCAGAGCACCTGGAGGAAACCCACACTAGCACAGGGTAAGCAGGCAAACTCCATGCAGATAGTGTCCTGACTAGCATTTGAACTGGGAATGCCAGTGCTGCAAGACAGACATTCTAACCACTAATCCACTGTGCTCCCCTTTTATTTTCCATTTTTTATTATGTTACTTAAAAAAAATGTAATGATACAAATAATAAATTCAGAGCGGCATTCATTTGTGTGGGATGGGATGATTGTAACCAGGGGCGGACTGACAACTCATGGGGCCCCTGGGCCATAGGGGATCATGAGGCCCCTGTGTCCTTGCCCAAACTCAAAAAAGCCTATGAAAAAGGTACCAAGGGCATCTCATGGGGCCCCCTACTGACCCCGGGCCCTTGGGCAGTGCCCGAGTTTCCAAATGGTCAGTCCGCCCCTGATTGTAACACACCCGTTTCACTGATTACTTTGCTATTCTATGTGGAGGTCTAGGAGTTGGGAGTCCATTGATCCAAGTGGCTTGCTGTCTGGCTTTACATCGACTTTGTTTTGCTGATTACAGCTTTAACAGGTAGTACTTTATAAGAACACAAATGACTTTGACATGTACTGCTTGCTTGTTGATTTACACTGACCCCCGGTTCACATCTGTGCAGGTGGTGCCTCTGCAGATCCAAGCCGCACCACCCGCACAGAGAAATGGGGACCCGCAGGCGGGACATTAGTTCTAATGGCACGCCGCCCGCACTGGGAAACGCAACCGTACTGGGAACCTCGGCTGCGTTTTCCAAAGAAGTGCAGGGACTTCTTCCCTGCGTGTCACGGACACGGGAGTCCATTCAAATGAATGGGCTCTCGTGCCCGTGCAAAATGCGGCCCACACGGCCGCATAGATGTGAACCGTGGGTGAAAGATAGTTGACGTTTGCTTTCATTTTTTTAGACATTTCTATAGAAAAGTTGCTCATCCTGAAGAAGCAGGCTCTGTCCTGCGAAACGCGTTGGGGAAAAGGCCAAGATGCTATCATTTGAATAATCTATTTTGAAGTTAAACTATTGAGGAAATGGTTAGGATTGGCTAATGTCAATCATTCAATTTGGAGTTATATCTTCTTGTAGCGGTCTAAATTGAGGCTTTAAAGTATACAAGTGTTTGCTACATGTGCAATCTATTCCCTCTTTTAGGATGTTATTATTGGATCTTTTAAACAATAAAATGAACCATCTTTAATACTATTTTTTAGTGTAGTTCTGTTTGAGTTGTGTGCTCTTAGGGATTTTTTTTCTTTATGCAAATACATTTTTTTTGCATTTGCAGCTGCAATCAAAGGATCATGGATGCAATGCCATAGCTCCTGCAGACTATTCCTCCAGCTCAGGTTCATACGGAGGTACGGACCTTTGGGTTTGAACCTGGAGGAAGTATCAATGGACTACAAGGATGTGCTGCCACTGCACTTGTGCTCCCTTGAGAACTACAGTCTCTTTGCTGCAGTGGCAGATGGGACTTGTAGTTTTCTCATTCACAGATTACTGAGAATGAACGACACAACTGTGTGGACACAGCCATGCCATGCACAGCCATGACAAACTCAAATTTGCCAGGAGATGATGCAGGAAACCCCCAAATTATGTAATGGAGTGGATCATGTTTCATGTTACACCCTATATGAGGATCCAAAAGGACCTGAACCATGCACATCCACTCCCAATTCATATTGGTCAGGAGATGGTGCGGAGAACAACCCCTGGATTCTGTAAGTGTCTGGGGGCTATAGTTAGTTTGGGGGTGGGGGGGCTGTGGACTCTGACCATGTTTCATGTTACTCCCTACATGAGGATCCAAAAGGACCTGAACCACACACAGCCACGCCCAATTCATATTGGCCAGGAGATGGTGCGGAGAAGAACCCCTGGGTTCTGTAATGTCTGGGGCTATAGTTAGTTTGGGGGTGGGAAGCTGTGGACTCTGATCATGTTTCAAGTTACACTCTACATGAGGATCCAAAAGGACCTGAACCATGCACAGCCACTCCCAGTTCATATTGGTCAGGAGGCGGTGTGGAGAAGAACCCCTGGTATCTGTAAGTGTGTGGAGGCTAGAGTTAATTTGGGGGTTGGGGGGGCTGTGGACTCTGACCATGTTTCATGTTACACCTTAAATGAGGATCCAAAAGGACCCGAACCACATACAGCCACTCCCCATTCATATTGGCCAAGAGACAGTGCGGAGAAGAACCCCTGGGTTCTGTAAGTGTCTGGGGGCTAGAGTGAGTTTGGGGGTGGGGGGCAGTGGACTCTGACCATGTTTCAAGTTACACTCTACATGAGCATCCAAAAGGACCTGAACCACACACAGCCACGTCCAATTTAAACTGACCAGGAGACGGTACGGAGAAGAACCCCTAGGCTCTGCAAGTGTGTGGGGGGTAGAGTTGGTTTGGGGGTGGGGGGGCTGTGGACTCTGACCATGTTTCATGTTACTCCCTACATGAGGATCCAAAAGGACCTGAACCACACACAGCCACGCCCCAATTCAGACTGTCAGGAGACGGTGCGGAGAAGAAACCCTGGGTTCTGTAAGAGTGTGGGGGGGCTAGAGTTAGTTTGGGGTGGGGGGGCTGTGGATTCTGACCATGTTTCATGTTACTCCCTACATGAGGATCCAAAAGGATCTGAACCACACGCAGCCACTCCCAGTTCATATTGGTCAGGAGATGGTGCGGAGAAGAACCCCTGGGTTCTGTAAGTGTGTGGGGGCTAGAGTTAGTTTGGGGGTGGGGGACTGTGGATTTTGACCATGTTTCATGTTACACCTTACATGATGATCCAAAAGGATCTGAACCACACACAGCCCGCCCAATTCATATTGGCCAGGAGACGGTGCGGAGAAGAACCGCTGGGTTCTGTAAGTGTGTGGGGACTAGAGCTGGTTTAGGGGTGGGGGGCTCTGTTCATGTTACACCCTAATTGAGGGTATGAAAGAACCCGATCCACAAACAGCCACACCAAATTCAAATTTGCTAGGAGACGGTATAGAGAAGGACCCCTGGATTCTGTGAGTGGGGGGAGCTGTTGATTCCGATCTTGTTTCATGTAACACCCTAAATGAGAGTGAAATGTGAACCATGGTCTGAAAGCTGGAGCTGGGGCATTTAAACATACCTGGGTGGAAAATCTAAAACGCACATTCTGCACAATTGTTCTCCTCATTCCCCATTCATCTCCTTTTGCTGAGTCCATCAAAGCCTGGTTAAAGCTCAGTGAGCCCTCATAAAGAGGGTGTATCGTTGGCCCCCGAAACGCGTCGGCTATTTTTTTGTGATGTAGCTAAAGAACCATCATATCGTTTTGTACTCTTTACCCTTTTGGCTCGGCACTTCCCTTTTTTGGGTTGAAAATACATCTGCTCATTCATGAAACCGATGAACAGGCAGAGCAGTGAAACCCTCGGGGATTATTTCATAAAGCAAAGCCCAGCCACCCATAGCAGTCAATCCAATTCCATGTTTTAATGCCCCCATGGCAGTAAAGCAATATGTTGTTTGAAATACATCAGTGAGCAACCCCTCTGATTGTATACTTTCTCTTTTGTTTCTTACATCCCCAATTTGATGTAAGATTAATCACTGTACGAATCTAGAAAACAAATCGACCATAACAGGCAAAAAGTACGAGAGCGGCGACTGCGTCTCCCCGCCGTCTCATCTGTACTCGCCTGGATCAATGGAAAGCAATAAAAAGCAGATGGAAGTAATAATGGGATTGGGGTCACCATTGATTTGTCATTATGGTACATCCTGTTACAGATATGTGTGCGCTGCGGTGACACAAGTATATCTGCTCACACACATCACTTCCAGAAGCAATATAGAACAAATAAGTTATAGAAAGCAATAACTGACTACACAAAGTTAGAATGTAAATGCCACATACCACGCTGCCGCTTGCCGCGCTTTTGTCTCGGCGGATGGGCACAGCCGATCGGACAGAGCAGAACGCCAGGAGCAGGAGCAAAAGCTGAGCGGTGAACATGACGGCGGGCGTTCGGTGGGTACGCTCTTCACCCGGGCGCTCCCTCTTTATACGGTCGGCTAGGAGGACACCCCAACCGTGACGCACAATCCGCAGCAATTATCAAAGAGGCTCCTCAGAGTATCTATTGCTATCGCTGGCGTAGGTGACGCGGCGGGAGGGCGAGGCGCTTTTTATTTTTTGTAAAGAGTGAAATGAGCTCGAAGTCGATACATTTAATTGGTAAGTGAATAGGAAATCATCGCAGTCTTTCATGACACAAAAAGGCTTTTATCATCCGGCAGATTAGGGTTTGTCGAGATTTCACCTCTTTCCAAAGAGTTTATTTGTAAGTCTTGAAGTGCCAACAGAAGAGGACGACTTGGCACAAAGGAGGAACGAGGAACGTAAGGCGAAGAGAATCGATTGCAACGGGAAAAGTGTGTGTGTTGGGGGGGGGGGGGGGGGGGCAGACTAAAAATGCTGCTATTTAATTAAAGAGCTGCACGTGCAATAGTAGGGGAGCCATAGACAATATACACCGTTCAGCCATAACATTATGACCACAGAAAGGTACAGTGAATAACACAGATTATCCCATTACAATGGCATCTGAAAGTTGGTGGGATTTATTAGGCAGACAGTGAACATGTTGTCCCTGAAGTGTATGTATTGCAGAAAAAATGGACAAGTGTAAAGATTTGAGCAACTTTGGCAAGGGTTAGCCGCTTCCCAACTGCCCTATGGCAGATGTACTGCTCCAGGGCGGCACGGATGTGCAAAATCACGTATATATATATACGTAATTATTATTATTATACAGTATTTATACAGCGCCAAAAAGTTTGCTCAGCGCTGTACATTGTAGTGGGGGACAGAACATGAGACAATACAGTAACAATACAATACACAAGGGGTTCGAGGGTCCTGCTGCCTTGGAGTTTACAATCTAGGAGGGAGGGGATAGTGGTACAGGAGGAAATGGCTGTGGGGGATGCAGTAGTAGGAGGAGATCGGCTGTTAGGTGAGGGCCGGGTAGGCTTCCCTGAAGAGATGGGTTTTCAGGGTGCGCCTAAAGGTGAGGAGGGTAGATGACAGTCTGATGGATTGGGGTAGTGAGTTCCAGAGGATGGGGGAAGTCCTGGAGAAGTCCTGGAGTCGGGCGTGGGAGGAGGAGACCAGGGAGCTAGAGAGTAGGAGGTCTTGTGAGGAGCGAAGATTACGGGTTGGGGGGTATTTGGATATTAGCTCGGTGATGTAGTTTGGGGCAGTATTATGGACAGCTTTGTATGTCTGTGTTAGTATTTTGAATTTTATCCGTTGGGCAATCGGGAGCCAGTGGAGGGATTGGCAGAGGGGGGTGGCGGAAACAGAGTGGTTGGTGAGGTGGATGAGTCTGGCTTCTGAGTTCAGGATAGACTGGAGCGGGGATAGCCTATGTTGGGGTAGGCCGGTGAGGAGGGAGTTGCAGTAGTCCAGACGTGAGATAATAAGGGAGTGAACGAGTAGTTTAGTGGTGTCTGGGGTTAGGAACGAACGTATTTTGGAGATGTTGCGGAGCTGGAGCCTACATGAGTTTGCCAGCGATTGGACATGGGGCTGGAGTCTAGGGTGACACCTAGAACTTTGGCTTGCGGGGTGGGACTGATGGTGGTGTTATTGGTCGTGATGGAGAGGTTGGGGGGGGGGGCACGGGCTGGGGGGAAAACTAGGAGCTCGGTTTTGGAAAGGTTTAATTTGAGGAAGTGGAGTGACATCCATAATTTTGCATTTCCAGGTAGGGGGCATGCGCGAGCCGCACATGCGCCCTACCCGCGCCGCCATCATTCACCTGGTCTCAGCCAGTGATTACTGAGCATCTCTGATGGGGAGGAGGACTGCTCAGGCACACTGCTCTGGATGGCTGTGCACAGCACAGCCATCCAAAGCAGTGTGTTTACAGTGAAGCACACAGACACTGTCCCCTAGTAAAACACTCCCTGCAAACAGTTAACCCTTTGATCGCCCCTCATGTTAACCCCTTCCTGCCCAATGCCATTAGTACAGTGTCAGTGCTTTTTTTTTTAGCATTGATCACTGTATTGGTGTCACTGGGGATGTCAGTGACACCAAGTCAGAATGCAAGTGTACAATCCAAACGCACATGTTCCTGCGTTAAAAATGGCTGTGTGTATAAGTTGGTGCTGAAGCGACTGTCGGCTGGAACCGAACAGAATCAGCACGGGAGAATGTCACCAGCATGCCGAGGATCACTAATACGGGTCCAAAAGTTTTAATGAACGATCACATAGTTACAGCAAGGCAAAGTTTCGGAGTCTCGCAGGACCCCTTCATTCGTCACATGCCTGATGAAGGAGTCCTGCGAGACTCTGAAACGTTGCCTTGATGGTCACATGCCTGATGAAGGGGTCCTGCGAGACTCTGAAATGTTGCTTCACAAGTCGCTGATCACCACCATTACTAGTAAAAGAAAAAAATCCCTGTATCTATTTACCATTTGTAAACACTATAACTGTCACGTAAGTCAATTAATTTACATGATTGGGATTATTTTTTAGCAAAGACACGGAGCAGAATACATTTTGGCCTAAATTTATGATGAAATTTGATTATTTTAAATTTTTTTACTGGACATGTTTAATAGTAAAAAGTCAAAAATATTTTTTTTTTTTTTCTTAAATTGTCGATCTTTTTTTATAGCGCAAAAAATAAAAAATAAACAGGCGATCAAAGACCACCGAAAGAAAGCGCCTTTCGTGGGAAAAAAAGGATGTAAATTTAATTTGGGTGCAGCATTGCATGACCGTGCAATTACATAGTTAGTCTGGTTGAAAAAAGACAAAAGTCCATCCAGTTCAACCATGAAAAAAAAAAGTTAGAATCCTACACCCACAGTTGATCCAGAGGAAGGCAAAAAAACCCACCAAAGCATGATCCAGTTTGCTCCTGCTGGGAAAAAAATTCCTTCCTGATCCCCCGAGAGGCAATCGGATATTCCCTGGATCAACTTTACCTATAAATGTTAGTATCCAGTTATATTCCGTGTATCCAAGAAATAATCCAGGAGATTTTTTGAAGCAATCCACTGAGCTGGCCAGAACCAACTCTTGTGGGAGCCAGTTAAAGTAACGCAGCGCCGTAATGCAAAAAATGGCCTAGTCAGGAAGGGGGGGGGGGGGGTAAATCCTCTGGAGGGCGAGTGGTGAAGCTGTAATGGCTAGACAAATGGGTCAGAGCAACTATAAAACTGCAGCTTTTGTGGGATGGTCCCATTCTGCAGTGGTCAGGACCTACCATAAGTGGTCAAAGGAAGGAAAACCAGTGTCAAGGTCCTGGGCAGCCAAGGCTCATTGATGCTTGTGGGAACTGAAGGCTGGCCCTTGTAGTGTGATCCAACAAAAGAGCTACTGTTGCTGAAATTATTATCAAAATAAGGTTGGTTCCAATAGGTTTGTTGTGTATGGGGCAGGGTGCCCATGCTGACTCATGTCTACAACCAAAAGTGCCAGCAATGAGGAACACAACAAAATGTTTGAGGTGTTGACTTGGCTTCCAAATTCTCCAGATCTCAATCCAATCATGCATGCTGTGGGATGTGTTAGAAAAACAAGTCTGATCCATGGAGGTCCCACCTCCAGGGGCGGACTGACAACTCATGGGGCCCCCGGGCAACAGGGGGTCATGGGGCCCCTGTGTCCTTGCCCATACCCAAAAAAAGCCTATGAAAATGACAATGAAAGGTACCAGGGGCATCTCATGGGGCCCCCTACTGACCCTGGGCCCTCGGGCAGTGCCCGAGTGCTCGAATGGTCAGTCCGCCCCTGCCCACCTCACAACATACAGGACTTAAAGGATCTGCTACTGATGGTGTCAGAAACCACAGCATACCTTAAGAGCTCTGATGGCATCCATGCCCTGACAGGTAATAACGGGTGGCCAGAATGTTATGGGTGATCGGTGTGCATGCTGCTGCTTTCTGCTGTTTTGCTCCTGGTCATTTTTTTTCCATTGAGCACAATAAAATAAGCATTTCCAAGTAAACTGTTTGTTACATTTTTACCCCATCTCTTGAAGTTTACAGCTTTCAATACTGATGGCTCCTGCTCTCTCTGTGCTCCTTCCCTGTACTTCCACGAAAAAGTTAACAGTGGACAGTGCAGTCTCCAGCCAGTCTGAAAGGAGAAGGAAGGTAATACCTTGCCAGCCTAGACTGTGGCTGTGTGTTTCTATTGATGCACACATTGTAAGGAGACACTACTCTAGTCCTGGTTTGCAAGGATGACTACATAGAATGCTGCAAGGGAAAGGAGCCAGCCTGAAATAGGAAACCCGGGGCAGTGGTCATGGCACCAGCTTAAACTGAAACACAGGCAAGGATTGAATAATAAAGAAGCTGCATATTCAGGAAGTGATTAAATCAGCTACTGAACATACTTAAAAACTGAGGATTTACCATCACTTTATGGTACTTGATATATATAAATGGATATGTGAAATATATATAATGTTATTACGATATATTTTTGTTCAATGACCATGAGACAATATTATATCGACATAGTCATTTTCTTATATTTTTCCTGACTCTGATGAAGGGGGTATTTGTGGACCCCGAAACGTGTTGAATATTCCATATATTGTTGTGAGTTTTCATTTTTAAATAATAAAACATTTTAGCTCATTTAATACGCTTTTCCCTATCCCATACTGTGTTACAGAGCTGTACTGGAGTCACCAAGAGTCCTAGATGTACTGGAGTCACGGAAAGTCCTGGCTGTACTGGAGTCAATGAGAGTCCTACTTATACTGGAACCACTAAGAGTCCAGGCTATGCTGCTGGAGTCACCAAGAGTCCTAGATGTACTGGAACGAACAAGGGTCCTAGCTGTATTGGAACCATTCAGGGTCCTAGCTGTACTGGTGTCACCAAGTGCCTTGACTGTACTGGAGTCACATAGGGTCCTAGCTGTACTGAACCAAAGAGGGTCCTGGCTGTACTAGAGTCACTGAGAGTCCTAGTTATACTGGAACCACTAAGGGTCCTAGCTATGCTGGAGTCACCAAGAGTCCTAGATGTACTGGAACCAATGAGGCTCCTAGCTGTACTGGAGTCACTGAGGGTCTTGACTGTACTGGAACTGAGGGTCCTGGCTGTACTGGAGTCACCGAGGGTCCTGGCTGTACTAGAGTCACCGAGGGTCCTAGTTGTATTGGAACCATTGAGGTTACTAGCTGTACTGGAGTCACAGAGGGTCCTGGCTGTACTGGAGTCACCAAGAGTCCTAGTTATACTGGAAGCACCAAGTGTCCTGGTTGTAATGGAACCGCCGAGGGGCCTAGCTTTGCTGGAACCACCAAGGATCCTATCTGTATTGGAGTCACTGAGTGTCCTAGTTATACTGGAATCACCAAGGGTCTTGGCTGTACTGGAACTATTGAGGGTCCTAGCTGTACTGGAGTCACAGAAAGTCCTGGCTGTACTGGAACCACCGAGGGTCCTAACTTTATAGGAACTATTGAGGTTCTTGGCTGTACTGGAGTCACAGAGGATCCTGGCTGTACTGGAGTCACAGAGGATCCTAGCTGTACTGGAGTCACCGAGAGTCCTAGTTATACTGGAACCCCTGAAGGTCCTGGTTGTAATGGAACCATCGAGGGGCCTAGCTTTGCTAGAACCACCGAGGGTCCTGGCTGTACTGGAGTCACAGAGGATCCTGGCTGTACTGGAGTCACAGAGGATCCTGGCTGTACTGGAGTCACGGGGAGTCCTAGTTATACTGGAACCCCTGAAGGTCCTGGTTGTAATGGAACCATCGAGGGGCCTAGCTTTGCTGGAACCAACGAGGGTCCTGGCTGTACTGGAACCACCAAGGGTCCTAGCTGTACTGGAGTCACCGAGAGTCCTAGTTATACTGGAACCACCAAGGGTCCTGGTCCTGGCTGTACTGGAACCACCGGGGGTCCTGGCTGTACTGGAACCAAGAGGGTCCTGGCTGTACTGGAACCAAGAGTCTGAGGGTCCTGGCTGTACTGGAACCATCAAGAGTTGTAGCAGTACTGGAGTCACCGAGCATCCTAGCTATATTGGAACCACCGAGGATTCTAGCTGTACTGAAGTCACCGAGGGTCCTGTATTTATTGGAGTCACTCTGGGTCCTACTTATTACTTCTGTTTCCAGATCTGAAGTCCGTGGGTTCTCTACATACAGTTGTATTAAAAAGGTCTCACCTCCAGGATCCCTTTACCTACACCGACGTCGCAGACTATCAGGGATCAAGGGATGATTATAAACCCAGAAGAAAAGGGCAGTCTTCCCCTCATAGTTAATAGTCTTTTCTAAACATAAGCCGTATAAAACTGATGACCGGTATGAACAGCAAAGAACCTCTTTATTATTGCCAAGGTGTGCGTATTCTTTATAGATTTGTCTGTGATAACTCACGGAATGTGATGGCAGTATAGAACACGTACATTTTATAACCATCAATAAATACCTGTTACTATATACTACTGTCCTAATATATACACAGAGTTCAACAATTAAAGTCCATTCAGATCTTTTCCTGGGAACGTTCTGAAAAGAAATATCTGAACTGATGCGACGTCTTCACTCCATGTCCTGGTCTTCAGAGTCCGGCACCGCAGAATCGCCATCTGACGGCAGCTTTCCCTTCCCAGCACCAACTGATTTCTTCTTTTTCTTCTTCTTCTTCTCTTTCTGCTCCTGGTTATTGGAAGCAATTTCCTCACCGTATGCACTGATGTGAGCATGCTACAATATAAAAGACATCAATGAGACAGGAACAATACAAATACCTCAAAGATCAAGCTCTCATTTTTACAACTGAAGACAACAAAATGCAAGGTCAGGTCTGCTTGTCTTGTACCCGACACCTCCATAAAAAATAATAATGTTGTTGTTTTTTATGTATAACCAGTTAAATAAAAAAAAAGTTAGCAGCTACAATTGGGCATAGAAAAGAATCCCCCCCCTTTAAAATAATCACATTATGTTGCTTTGCAGCCTGAAATGAAGACAGGCACAGTTTTTGTTTTATCCATCTGTATTTACTCAGTGCAACTTCTAACATCCAAGTGATAGATATATTTAACATGTCAAAAAATAAAATAAAATTCAAAAACAGAATCACTTAGTTGGAAAAAGGATCACCCCCTTGTGTTAGTATTTTGTTGAACCCCCTTTTGCTTTAATTCCATCCTCCAGTCTGTTGGAATGTCTCTACTAACTTTTCACATCCAGACTTTGCAATATTTGCCCGCTCTTCTCTGCAGAACTGCTCAAGTTCAGTTAGATCTGATGGTGACCGTTTTTGGACTGCAATCTTCAAGTCATTCCACAGATTTTCAATGGGGTTTAGGTCTGGGCTCTGACTAGGCCATTCAAGGACATTCACCTTTTTCTCCTCCAACCACTGTGGGCTCATGTTTGCTGTGTGCTTTGGGTCATGGTCATGTTGGAAGTTAAACCCTTCTTCCCATTGACAACTTTTAGGCAGAGGGCAGATTTTCCTCAAGAATGTTATTGTTTTTTGCACCATCCATTTTTCCTTCTATCCTGACAAGTGCTCCAGTCCCTGCTACAGAGAAACTGCAGCTGCTTCAGAGTTGCTGTAGGCCTCTAGTTAGCCTCTCTGACCAGTTTCCTCCTGGTTCTTTCATCCAGTTTGGAGCGACATCCTGATCCAGGGAGGGTCGGTGTTGTACCAAATACCTTCCATTTCTCAATAATAGACTTCACTCTGCTTCTACGCAGTGATAAAGCCTCTGAAATTTTGTTGTATCTATCTCCTGACTTGTGCCTGTCCACAACTTTATACCGGAGATCTATTGACAGTGCCTTGTTACCCATAGTTGATTGTTTGCTTCACTATTGCACTATTAGGGACTGAAATGCTCCAGGAAAGCTCTTTTCATGCTGAGCTAATCAAAATGACCACAGCTGATCACAGTTGAAAGTCAGATTCCTTTGTCTGCCATTGAGAGGTGATTAGCTACACTTGATTGAGTTTATTTTTAGGGGGGGTTCTTTTTTCCAACTCAGCAATTTTGTTTTGTTTTTTTTTTTCTTTCATTTTGGTGCTATATCTTTCACTTGGATATCATACGTTGTACTGAGTGAATAAAGCTGGATAAAACATAAGCTGTGGCTGTCTTCATTTCAGGCTGCAAAGCAACAAATTGTGATTATTAAAGGGGGGGGGGGGGTATTCTTTTTTATTCCCAAAGTATAAGGCTTAGTTTACACTTGTTATTGTGGAGTTGTAAAACAGGTTTAGGTGCTTATTTAGCATTCCTCAACCGCTCCCCCCCCCCCCCCCCACATAGGAGAATATAAATGTAGTCAGGGCTGGGACAAGGTGTGGGCAGGAAGGGCAGCTGCCCCGGGTGCAGGGCAGTAAGGGGGCAAAGAATAGATGCAGGGTATGAAGACAGATCATACTCAGATACAAGGCTGGGACAAGGGGTGGGGCAGGAGGGACAGATCCCCTGGACATGATGGTTTATAGCAGGGATGGGGGCTCTCTGTGCCAACTGCTTCTGTTACAAGGATGACAGGAGTAGTGACTGCTAACTCTAAAGGGAAGGGGGGACACAGTGTGGCATCTTTGCCCTGGGCGCTGGATGGCGCCTCAAAAATTGTCCCCACTCAAGTGAATGGGGCCGCAATGCATACAATCCACCACTGGTTGCTCTTCAGAGGGCCAATGCAACTGTAAATGAGTCCTTAAAGTGTAAAAAATATTCACCTTACACCCCAGCTTTTGGCAAGCTCACCCAGGCAAGGGTGACTTCACTGAGCCTTCGTGAGAAAGCTGAGGATCCCAAATCTTATAAGAGGAGAGTACCGCACAGTGCACTCATTCTCCCAAACCTCTGGGATCCCCAGCATCACCAGGATCCTGGCACAATGTCCTAGCGACGTCACCGGCTTATAATGGAAGCAGCCAGAAACTGGAGTGTTAGGTGAGGTGCTTTTACTTTTTTTTTGCATTGAAAATTGATCATCCAAGGAGAATTTGTTTTTTTTTTCCTCAGCCAGGGTAGTTATAGTTTAAATGGAGGAGTGAGGGCCTACAAGAGGCTTAGAGTTGAACTAAAAATCACTGATTTAATCGTTTCCCAAAATAGTTACATTCATGACATGCCGTGAATGATAACGGTCACAGTTGCTTGAGCTCTCAACCAAACTGTCAAACCATGGCTGGTGTCACAGCTGATCACATGTGCAGGATCATGGTTGTTGCAGATAAACCCCCACCCCCACCCCGCATACACGCACAAGGGACACCCCCCACCCCGCATACACGCACAAGGGGACACCCCCCTCCTTCCCCGCATATACACACAAGGGGACACCCCTCCTCTTTCCCCGCATACACGCACAAGGGGACACACACCCCCTCCTTCCCCGCATACACGCACAAGGGGACACACACCCCCTCCTTCCCCGCATACACACACAAGGGGGCACCCCCCCTCCTTCCCCGCATACACGCACAAGGGGACACCCCCCCTCCTTCCCCGCATACACGCACAAGGGGACACACAAGGGGACACCCCCCTCCTTCCCCGCATATACACACAAGGGGACACCCCCCCTCCTTCCCCGCATACACGCACAAGGGGACACACACCCCCTCCTTCCCCGCATACACACACAAGGGGACACCCCCCCCTCCTTCCCCGCATACACACACAAGGGGACACCCCCCCCTCCTTCCCCGCATACACACACAAGGGGACACCCCCCCCCCTTCCCCGCATACACGCACAAGGGGACCCCCCCCCCTCCTACCCCATATACACGCACAAGATTAAAAAGACGTTACCAGTGATCGACTCCGTCGGGAAAGCAGTTTCACATCGTCCACGTTAATTGTGGATCTTTTTCCATGCCTACACAAAGAAGGATGAGACTTTGTCAGAGTGGTTGCAGGAAGGGAAATCAGGGTTCATCCTCATTGGTAAGTGGAGCACATAAACAACCAGAGTATTCCTAGCATTCCAATATACATAACATCAAATACACTAAAACTTTGTCATGGCTGCATCAGATGTGTATACAGTGAAGGAAAGAAGTATTTGATCCTCTGCTGATTTTGAATGTTTGCCCACTCACAAAGAAATGATCAGTCTAAAAATCGAATGTTCGGTGTATTGTAACACAGAGACAGAATAGCAACAAAAAATTCAGCAAAAATGCGTCTAACAAATGATGACTGATTTGCATGTTCATGAGGGAAAAGAGTATTTGATCCCCTTCTCAAAACATGACTTAGTACTTGTTGGCAAATCCCTTGTTGGCAATCACAGAGGTCAGACATTTCCTGTAGTTGGCCACCAGGTTTGCACGCATCTCAGGAGGGATTTTGGCCCACTCCTCTTGGCAGATCCTCTCCAAGTCATTAAGGTTTGCCAAGCCAAGATGTGCCATGCTGATAGATTCATACCCAAAAAGACTGCGTGCTGGGATCACATCAAAAGGTGCTTAAACTAAGTATTAGTTTAAGGGTGTGCACACTTATGCAACCATATTATTTTAGTTTTTTTATTTTTACTTCCCTGCACCTAAAAGATTTCAATTTATTGTTCAACTGAGTTGTACAGTTTATAGGTTACATTAAAAGGTGGAAAAAGTTCTGAAATAATTTATCTTTGTCTCATTTTTTTTCACAGAAACCTGACATTTTAACAGGGGTGTGTAGACATTTTCTATCCACTGTACCATTGAGTATGCTACATACGTGATGCTTTACTTTATAGATATTATACATGCATCTACTCCTGAAAAAGTGAACAAAGTCACGAAACGCGTTGAATTTTTGGATGCCATTTGAATCATGTATTGACATCTGGATTGTATATGGTCAGCAGTATACCAGCTTTTTTTCCCCTTGACAAATGAAATCCTCATTTGAAAACTGCATTTTGCATTTACTCGGGTTAGCTTTGTGTAATATTAAAATTTGTTTTTTGATCTGAATCATTTAAGTGTGAAAAGAAAAAAAATATATTCAGGAAGGGGGCAAGTACTTTTTCACAGCACTGAATGTGTGACTACGAGGCGGGAATTGCCTTGGATGCAAATGATTGGCCCATTACAGTTTAGGAGGGAATCTGAACACACCCGAGCTCATCCCTACCTCTGACTACTCCTCTACCCGGCTATTTTTGGGCAGAACGTCCAGAGTTCCGCTTTAAATTTCTGGGGTAAACGTGGAAGCTTTGCTAGACATGTCATCCACTAATGTAGTGCACAAAAGAGCATTGAAAACTCGGAGTAATCCTTGAAGAGGGTAAAGCATGGCAGGCACACAGATGCGAGGAAGCAGAAAAGATTTGTTACGTTGAAGGCAATTTGCAGACATAAAGAATCCACATTCTATTGCCGAAAGCTTCCCTTGTCGGCACAAGTGTGACACCTGCGAGATCAGAGGACCCTAAAAACGTGTTTATCTGCTTCCAGAAGGAGATGAATTCATTCTAAACAATTCAGAGTCGTAATTAAAGCAAATCGTGCGCTTACACCTGTTTGTAATTTAATCGAGCACAATTCATACCCAGCTCTTGGTAAACACGGATCTTTTCAAGCAAGCCAGAATGACTCGAAAACTGATGTCAGGTTCCTATATTCACTCCACAAAGGAAAGTGGATCCTGAGCGTCAGGACAGGCTCATTGACAGGACAGGCTCATAAAAGAGGTGAAACAGCCTGGAGTCCCAAATGTGAGGTGTACTGTCCTGGGTACAACGATGGAGAGGAGAAGAGCGGAGAGAAGGGAATGGAGAGGAGAGGAGAAAGGAAATTAAAAGAAAAAGGAAACTATATAAAAAGGAAAGATAAAAGGATAGAAAAAGGTAAAAGGTTAAAAGGAAAAAGAAAGGCAAAAAAGAAAAGGACAGACAAGGAACAGAAAAGGTAAAATGAAAGGTAAAAGGAAAAGGAAAGGTGAAAGTTAAAAGGAAAGGTGAAAGGTAAAAAGGTGAAAGGAAGGGAAAAGGAAAGAGAAGGGAAAAGGAAAAAGGAAAGGGAAAAAAGGAAAGAGAAAGGAAAAACAGAATGGTAAAAGGAAAGGTGAAAGGAAAAGTAAAAGGAAAGGAAATGTGAAATGAAAGGGAAACGAAAAAGGAAAGAAAATGGAAAAGGAAGGGGAAAAGATAGGAAAGAGAAAGGGAAGGGAAAAGGAAAGGAAACTGAAAAAGGAAAGGAAAGGGAAAAGGAAAGGGAAGGGAAAGGTAAAAGTAAAGGAAATGTGAAATGAAAGGGAAACGAAAAAGTAAAGAAAATGGAAAAGGAAGGGGAAAAGATAGGAAAGAGGAAAGGAAGGGAAAAGGGAAAAGGGAAGAAAAAGGGAAGAGAAAAGGGAAGGGAAAAGGAATGGGAAAAGGAAAAGGTAAAAGTAAAAGGAAAGGTGAAAGTAAAAGGAAAGGAATGGTGGAAAAAAGGAAAGGTGAAAAAAGTAAAAGGAAAGGAATGGTGAAAAAAGGAAAGGTGAAAGGAAAGTAACAGTAAAAGGAGCGTAAAGGTGAAAAAAAAAAGGAAAGGTAAAAGGGAACGGTAAAATAAAAGGTGAAAGGAAAAGTAACAGAAATGGTAAAAGGAAAAGAAAAAGGTAAAAATGGAAAGATAAAAGTAAATAGGAAAAAATAAAGGGAAAAAAGAAGCAGAAAAGGAAATAAAAAAGGAAAGGGGAGATTTTCCAAGCCAGGTACCTAACAGAATTGGTTATATAAGCCCTTCCTATATCAGATCGTGAGTAAGAGGGAGCCATGCTGTGCGGGTCTCCCATAGCTCTCACCTATGACATGTTTAGGAGGTGTAGCCACTCTCAGGTTGAAATTTTATAAACTCTGTTAAAAGTGTGAGGACGCACAAAACAAGCACTTTTATCATGGAAAGGATTGTAGCATTTTCAAAGATGACACTGAGTTAAGGTGATACAGGTAGTTGGATACAAATCATTGCTCGGAGGAGCTCTTCCTTAAGTCTAAATCAGCAATGGAAAAGAATTGTGCTCCTATGAACCAAGAGAGGAATTCTTTCCTGAACTTCACACATCAATCATGGTGATAGAACCTCGGGGGTGGGCACAAACAGAGCACAACGCCCAATGATATTACAGCAGTAACACAACAAATAAGTGTTGGGGTCTGGTTTACAGAATCATCCATTTCAGCATGACAAATAACCGTAATAGGTTAGGTTTTTAGAATTTTAAAGTTGAACTCCAGACAAAAAAAACTAAAAAAGTATAACACACACACTGATTTGTGCAGGTTTGTGTTTATTAGAAAAATGAATAGGTGTATTTTTTGGGGGCAACTACTGGAAGTACATGAATCTGACTTAATATCAGCCTCCTTCAACCCCTTGTACAGCGGGGCTCAGACTGAAAGAGGCAGAATCAGCACATTCAACCAATCAGTTGTGCTGCTGTGCTCATATGCTAACAAGGGACATGCTGATAGGTGGAGAGCAGAGTGACAGAGAGAAGCTTTCTGGGTGGGTACAGTGAAGACATTAAAGATACAGACACCCCAAAATGGGTGGATACAAGAGGAAAGCCAGGACCAGTAAGAGGATCATGTTAGATCCCAGCTGAAGGGGGAACGTGCTGTCTGACCTATTATAACATTAAGGTCAATATAAGAAGGTGAGGGCCCACCATGGAATCACATTTGCGGTGGGGCACATCATTTTATAAACATTTACAGCACCGGGATAGTGGGGTCACTCACCAGTCGGATCATCTGTGGAGATTTATATTGGAGTGGAAGAGACTTTATGGATCACAATTATTACGATCTGAAGAGACTTTATAGAGATTTGTTTATTGTTTTGTTCATGTGAATAATATTTTGATATCACTTTACCATTTTTTTGGTGGTTTAAATTGTTTTATATGGGCAGCGTAACACTTGTATCAATTTTGTCCTATTGCTTTGAATGTGATAAACTCACATTATTAAAGCTATTCTAAAGGTTCAATTTTTTTTTTTTTGTAGAAATAACAAACATGTCTATACTAACCTGCTGTATGCAGTGGTTTTGCACAGAGCAGCTTGGATCCTCCTCTTATCAGGTCCCCCGCAGGCTTTCCTGGCCCCTCCCTCCTGTCGGGTGCCCCCACAGCAAGCAGCTTGCTATGGGGGCACCCGCTGCTCCATGTGTCTATTTACATACAGAGCTGCGGCTTTGCCCCGCCCCTTCTCTCTCCTCATTGGCTGACTGGCTGGGATTGACAGCAGTGAGATCCAATGGCTTCTGCTTGCTGTCTCACCCAATGAGGAGGCAGGGACCCGGAACAGCTGAAGCTGTCATTCACATTGCTGGATTGCGATGAGGCTCAGGTAAGTATTGAGGGGGCTGGGGGCACTGCTGCATACAGAAAGGTTTTTACCTTCATGCACAGAATACATTAAGGTACAAAACCTTCAGCCTTTACAACCACTTTAATGACTGCAGCAGCTTTGGCACATTACTCATGTATATTGGTTGGTCGAGGGATCACAATTAGCGGCAGATAAGCTCACCTCTCTACGATTTCCCCTTCACCGTCCAGCCACAGTCTAGGGGAGGGACAAGACCTAGCGGTTTTATTTTACTGCAGTGTATAAAAAGTCAAATCCCTGGGCTGGATGTGCTGGGTGACAGAGCTGTGTACCTCTTGGGACTGGATGGACAGAATAATAAATCGTTTAGCAGATAAAGCAGCTTCCATACGTATGTCATCTGTATATTTAGCTGCCTGCCTAGAGTTCATCTTTAAACTTTTCTTCCATAAAAAAAAATTACAGGAATATTTTTGGCAAAATTAGAAGTCTTAAGTGTTCTGTAAATTTTTTTTCGGATTAAAATATTAAATCCGGGTAGTATGCAAGACGTTAAAATGCGTATTATACACATGCTTCAGGAAGACGCCACTCTCAGGACAAGTAGGCCGGCAGGAGCAGTAAGGAAAGCATAATGCGGGTTATCATCTCCTCCTCACTTACCGTGCAAACATCTCAAGGTCTTTTGCAAATGTTTCTGTAGAGTGAAAAAAAATGGAAATGAGATTTCTAATTAGAGAGATGGGGGTAACTCATAATTAAAGATCTTGGAAGGACATCAAGATAAAGCACTTCACGTGAATCGCTCAGAAGCCGAAAAAGGACAATGTGATGTTAAGTCATTGTGAGATAAAGGAATCTACGCCACCGCGGCTCATAATAAAAAAAAAAAGGTTTTATCAAGATTTGTCAATTGATTTACATTTTTATATAAAAATGTTTTCAGCACTATAGTCATGTGTTAGATATATGTACAGCTATTTTTGTATCAAGTTATTTTTGAGGGGGATGTTCTATTTAAAAAAAAAAAAAAAAAAAGGCCAAAGAACATAAATGATCATTTTTAAAAAGCAGCTTATGGGGAAAAAAATAATGATTGTCCTAGATTGTAAGCTCCCAGGATCAGGGCCCTCCTTTCCCTCTTGGATTGAACTGCATTGTTGCTGTATTGTCTCCCTTTATATTGTAAAGCGCTGAGCTGTTGGCGCTATATAAATCCTGTATAATAATAATAATAATAATAATTTTATATAAATCCTGTATAATAATAATAATATATAAATCCTGTATAATAATAATATATAAATTCTGTATAATAATAATATATAAATCCTGTATATATATAAATCCTGTATAATAATAATAATAATAATATATAAATTCTGTATAATAATAATAATAATATATAAATCCTGTATAATAATATATAAATCCTGCATAATAATAATAATATATAAATCCTGTATAATAATAATAATATATAAATCCTGTATAATAATAATATATAAATCCTGTATATAATATATAAATCCTGTATTATAATAATAATAATAATAATATATAAATCCTGTATAATAATAATATATAAATCCTGTATAATAATAATAATAATAATAATAATATATAAATCCTGTATAATAAATAATAATAATAATATATAAATCCTGTATAATAAATAATAATATATAAATCCTGTATAATAATAATAATAATAATATAAAATCCTGTATTATAATAATAATAATAATTCATGTGTATTAATTATTACAAATTGATTGATTTTACATATATGGACTCATTATGGACGTTTTATTCAGTTATGTCACTATTTTATTTTTTGTAGCTATTATTTAGCAGCGTCGCATCACTTATTTATTTTTCATTTATATTAATGCCATCCCCTCCCAAAGTGTTGGCACATCTGAACATTATTATTATGTGAATATTATTACTATTATCGATTTATATCAATCCCGCCACCTCTCATTGTGTGGGTATATCTGAGCATTAAAGGATAAGTTCAGCTTTTTGACAAAAATAATAAATGCACTTTTTTTGCAGGTAGTAAAATGTGCATTTATTATTTTTGCCCAAAGAAGCCTGGAAAGCATTGCAGCAGAGATCAGTAAATGGCTGGTGCCACGCAGGTCTCCTGCAGAGCTGTCAGAATATCTGCTTGCCGCATGGGATGTACGGGATGTACGACCAAGTAGATATTCTGACAGGAAGCTTCAATGAACTACTATGGTGCTCCACAGTGCCGTGGTAGTTCATTGAAAACTACAAGCCGACAGTCGCTAAGGCTGCTGGGACTTGTAGGCTCTCATTCACAGAACTCTGATGCGGCTGTGTGGGTGGAGCCCTGCATGGCCACGCCGTTTTCAAATCTGACAGATAGTATGGGGAAAGGGGGGGCAGCGGGTCCAGCTGCAGCTATGGTTAAATGTTACATGTTCCACCCTAAAAATGGGTGGAACATAACATTTTCCCAAAGGTGAACTTATCCTTTAAGGCGCTATTAAACCCAAACCAAAAATATAACACATTGCAGCTTACCAATCCTTAGATGTGGTGGCTGCATCAGTTTTCTTTTCTGTGGCTTTTTTCCCCCTCTGTAATCTGGCCATTAACACACCACTCTGCATGAATGAGCACAGGCGGCACAGCAGATAGCAGCAATGTCACTCTTGGGGGTTTGAAAAGGTCGACTGTATTAGCAGATTTAAATACACTAACAAAGTGAAGCCAAACTTCAGTTAACGCTTTTTAACCACTTGAGCTCCAGAAGGTTTTACCCCCTTCATGACCAAGCCATTTTTTTTCCTATTTAGAGCTGCGCTGCTTTAAGCGGTAGTTGCGCGGTCATGCAACACTGTACCCAAAATTTATATACAGGCAGTCCCCGAGTTAAGTACATTCGGCTTACGTAATACTCATACTTACGTACACTTCCCTCGGGACCGGAAGTCAAGCTGTCAGCATTCTTGTGCAGCAAGCTGATAAGAGACTAGCTGATAAGAGACATCAGAGAGACATAAGAGACAGAGACATCCATTGCTCGTTACTTGTGGGGCTAGCAGTGTCTGCCCACTATCTCCAAAGTGATTTAAGACTGTCTGTCTGCACCTCCGGGGAGAGGAAAGGAGAGGCTGTCAGGCTGCTCACTGAAGTGATCCTCCGTCTGTGCAGGGGGGAGGGGGCAGCGTGTGCTGTGTAAAGGAGAGCAGAGTTCTCTCATACAGTACATTACAGTACAGTGTATTTTTACCCTGCAATAATGCCTCCAAAGCAAAAAGCTGATGCAAGTGCTGGCACAGCAAAGAAAAGAAAAACAATCTCCTTGGAAGATAAAGTAGAAATAATAAAGAGATCAGAGAGTGGTGAAAAATCATCATCCATTTGCAAAGCATATGGTTATGCTCCGTCAACAATTTCAACAATTTTAAAAGATAAGAGTAGAATAATGGAGCATGTAAAATGTAAAACATAAAAGTTAAATATGTTAAGGCAAACATGTGTCCAAGCTGCAGTTCTTATGCAAAACACCAGTTTAGAGCCTCTTGAGGTTTTACTGCTTTCTGTAACCTTATTACAAAAACGTAATCTAATATCCTGTCGTTTGGTTAGTAGTTAGTGCTTATAAAAGTGCCTGATTCAACTTATGAACAAATTCGACTTATGAACAAACCTACAGTCCCTATCTTGTACGTAACCCGGGGACTGCCTGTAATTGTTTTTTTACACAAATAGAGCTTTATTTTGGTGGTATTTGATCACCACTGGGTTTTTCTTTTATATAAATGGAAAAAAAAAGACCGAAAAGTAAAAAAGAAAAAACAGTATTGTGTACTTTGTTATAAAACATATCCAATTAAAAAATGTAAATTTCTTCATAAATTTTTGCCAAAATGTATTCTGCTACATGTCTTTGGGAAGAAAAATCCCAATAAGTGCATATTGATTGGTTTGCATAAAAGTTCTAGTTATGTACTACTAATGGCGGGAATCAGAGACTTATAAGGGGACTGTAATAGTGCGCGGGCAAACTGGCACTAACTGACGCTGGGGGGAACTGACTAACTGCCACTGACACTAATACAGTGACCAGTGATAATACTATACACTATCACTGTACTAATGACACTGGCTAGGAAGAGGTTAAAATCTAGGGTGATCAAGAGGTTAAATGTGTGCCTAACCCAGTGTTTCTCAACTCCAGTCCTCATGGACCCCCAACAGGTCATGTTTTCAGGATTTCCCTCAGATGAAACAGCTGTGGTAATTACTAAGGGTGTGAAACTGATCAAATCACCTGTGCAAAATAATGGAAATCCTGAAAACATGACCTGTTGGGGGTCCATGAGGACTGGAGTTGAGAAACACTGGCCTAACCTAACAATGTGTAATATGTGCTGCTTTTACAACAGATCTTTGTTTCTTATCCCTGCTTTGCAGAGATGAGAAACAGAGAAATTGTCCTCTGTAGAGAGCCTTGTGTTGACAATCAACACAGAGCTCCATGCTGTGATTGGGCACAGCAAATCAGCAGGTCCCAGCCATGAATCGTTTGCTGATACAATCACAGCCATTTATATCAATGCCATCACCTCCCATAGTGTAGGTTATCTGCACATTATTACTATACATTTACATTAATGGTGCCACCTCTACTGTTCAAAAAATTAGATATATCAAGGTTGGGTAAAACAGATAATACAAAACATAAAATGTATCCAATGACAATGCAAACAATTATATACAAAAATGAGAGCAATAAGAAGACGCCATAGGGAGAGCCTGACCTGTGCAAGTCTAGAATTTAGAGAGGAAAAAAAGTAGGGAAGGGGAGGTAACAGAATGAGAAGACTGTGTGATCTGTGTTCTTTGTCAGATGGTGGAGGAGGAAGCAGTGCTGGATCAGGAAGTTTTATTATTATTATACAGGATTTATGGCGCCAACAGTTTGCTCAGCGCTTTACAATATAACAGGAGACAATACAGCAACAATACAGCTAAAAACAAGAGGGATAGGAGGGCCCTGATCCTGGGAGCTTACAATCTAGGAGCTTTACGGGGGATATTTACTAAAACTGTTGAGTCCAAAATCTGGTGCAGCTGTGCATGGGAGCCAATCAGCTTCTGACTTCAGCTTGTTCAATTAAGCTTTGACAAGAAAACCTGGAAGCTGATTGGTTTCTATGCAGAGCTGTACTAGATTTTGCAGTCTCTGGGTTCAGGTAAAGCAACCCTATATTAAGTGACTGTGTGAGTCATAATAGATAAAAGAGGAGAAAGCAGGCCCAGATGACACCACAATGACATGATTGTGAGCCCAGGTGACACCACACTGCAATGAGTGTGATCCCAGACCCAGATGACACCACACTGGCATGAGTGTGATCCCAGACCCAGGTGACACCACACTGGCATGAGTGTGACCCCAGACCCAGGTGACACCACACTGACATGAGTGTGACCCCAGACCCAGGTGACACCACACTGACATGAGTGTGACTCCAGACCCAGATGACACCACACTGACAGTGTGACCCCCAGACCCAGACGACACCACACTGACATGAGTGTGACTCCAGACGACACCACACTGACATGAGTGTGACTCTAGATGACACCACACTGACATGAGTGTGACTCCAGACCCAGACGACACCACACTGACATGAGTGACCCCAGACCCAGACGACACCACACTGACATGAGTGACCCCAGATCCAGATGACACCGCACTGACATGAGTGTGACCCCAGACCCAGGTGACACCACACTGACATGAGTGACCCCAGCCCCAGACGACACCACACCGACAGTGTGACCCCAGACGACACCACACTGACATGAGTGTGACCCCAGACTCAGATGACACCACACTGACATGAGTGTGACTCCAGACCCAGATGACACCACACTGACATGAGTGTGACCCCAGACGACACCACACTGACATGAGTGACCCCAGACCCAGATGACACCACACTGACATGAGTGATCCCAGATCCAGATGACACCACACTGACATGAGTGTGACCCCAGACGACACCACACCGACAGTGTGACCCCAGACCCACATGACACCACACCGACAGTGTGACCCCAGACCCACATGACACCACACCGACAGTGTGACCCCAGACCCACATGACACCACACCGACAGTGTGACCCCAGGCTCCTGTGAAGGTGTCACTTACCACACTGCCGGTAAGTGATTTCGGAAATTGCAGCAATGGCTTGTTTGCTGAACTGAACTTCCTTATCTTCTGCCACCTCCTGACAGAGACCCCCCACCGTGTAATGTACGGCTGCCTTCAAGTGCTTGGGCTGAATAAGAAAAATAAACACATTTTACCTTCTGCAGTTCTAGTCATCATTTTACAAGCTGTACAAAAGTCTAGACAGAACCTGAAGTGAACTTTTCAGCAATTTTACAAGTCTGCATGAATAGATTCTTCCCAAAAGTTCCACCTTTTATGGTTACAAACCCATCCAGGAGCTCCAATCAGTGACTTTGTCTAGGCTGAGATGATGTCATCAGTCTGCTGCAAGAAAGAGGAAGCATTTGCTCAGTCTCCCCTCCCCAGTGATCAGACAGCTCATTGTAACTTTGTAGCAAGTCACAAGGTAGAGGCTTGCATCAGGGGCTGATCTGTGTCAGACATTTGCACAAGCACCAGAATTTACATGACTGTATCATCATTTAACCAGCATCTCATCCCAGGAAGTAGATGGTGATTCCTTCACAGTCCCTTCTCTCCTCCTCGGCGCCGGCATCTCTCCCGGGGGCACCAGGTTGTGACAGCTTGCAGATTCACAGCTGGGTGCCACATGCGCGAGTCGCACTGTGCCTCCTGATTGGTCCGGCAGTTTTCTGGGACCTGTGAAAGTTCCTAGGAGACTGTGGGAGGTAGGAGGGGGGGCCGAATGTTCGGCTCACTTTGCTGCAGTGAACTGTGCGGAAGTGGGAGCGGGTACCTGTCAAAACCAGGTACTCCCTCCAAAAGGTGCCAAATATGGCAGCGGAGGGGGGAGGAGGTAAATAAGTGAAGCTTCCACTTTTGAGTGGGACTCCGCTTTCATGAAAAATGACATGAAGCCATACAGTGAGCACAGCGTACTAAATACACTAGCTCATTACATCCAGTAGGAGGCGCCAAATACAAACAATCTGAATCAGGCTTGGTGTTGCTGTACATGCCATGTGGAACCACTAGGTGGCGATGTACACACAGCACTCTGCGGCTTGGTGCCTGTGCACTTACAGCACATCTGTGGCTAGGTGGCGCTGAGTACATTATAATCTGCATTTACAGCACATCTGTGGCTAGGTGGCGCTGTGTACATTATAATCTGCAGTTACAGCACATCTGTGGCTAGGTGGCGCTGTGTACATTATAATCAGCACTTACAGCACATCTGTGGCTAGGTGGCGCTGTGTACATTATAATCTGCATTTACAGCACATCTGTGGCTAGGTGGCGCTGTGTACATTATAATCTGCAGTTACAGCACATCTGTAGCTAGGTGGCGCTGTGTACATTATAATCTGCACTTACAGCACAGCTGTGGCTAGGTGGCGCTGTGTACATTATAATCTGCAGTTACAGCACACCTGTAGCTAGGTGGCGCTGTGTACATTATAATCTGCACTTACAGCACATCTGTGGCTAGGTGGCGCTGTGTACATTATAATCTGCAGTTACAGCACACCTGTAGCTAGGTGGCGCTGTGTACATTATAATCTGCACTTACAGCACATCTGTAGCTAGGTGGCGCTGTGTACATTATAATCTGCAGTTACAGCACACCTGTAGCTAGGTGGCGCTGTGTACATTATAATCTGCACTTACAGCACACCTGTAGCTAGGTGGCGCTGTGTACATTATAATCTGCACTTACAGCACATCTGTAGCTAGGTGGCGCTGTGTACATAATATTCTATAATGAACACGGAGCCGGTCTCCGGTGTATATGGAAAGTCCCCAGGGTTCGGTGTCTGCCGTACCTGTATCCGGTGCACTCTCCGCTCCTCATCCTCCGCCATGACCGCCACCTCCACTCTTAACTGTCACCAGGCTCCGGGGAACTTTCCCGCCGAGAAATGAAGCGCTACGGACCGCGGAGAGGGACAACGCCAGCAGAGGGCGAAGCGGCCACGTCACGTGATCGCTGTGGAATGGAAAAGTGGCGCAGAGTGGAGAGTTGGCGCAGGGATGAATCGATCAGAAGTGGGGGAGGGGAGAGGGTCCTTCTAGGTATTACTTGATGTGCTTTAAAAAAACTTTATTAACCCCTTGCCCTCCAGAGGATTTCCCCCCTTCCTGACCAGGAAATTTTTTGCAATTCGGCGCTGCGTTGCTTTAACTGACAATTGCGCGGTCATGCAACACTGCACGCAAATTAAATTTACACTCTTTTTGACCCACAAAAAAAGACCGACAATTTTGAAAAAAACAATATTTTTAACTTTTTGCTATTAAACATTTAAAATTTTAAATCAAATTTCTCAGTACATTTAGGCCAAAATGTATTCTGCTCCGTGTCTTTGCTAAAAGAAAAATCCCAATACATGTAAATTAATTGGTTTACGTGAAAGTTCTACAAATGGCGGTATATATACTGTGATTTTTTATTTTTAATTAGTAATGGCTGCGATCAGCAACTTATAGTGGGACTTCTGACACTGGGGGGGGAACTGACTTGGTGTCACTGACATCCCCAGTGACACCACTACAGTGATCAGTGCTAATAAAGAGCACTGTACTAATGACACTGGGCAGGAAGGGGGTAACATCTGGGGTGATCAAAGGGTTAACTGTGTGTGTGCTTTACAGTGTAAGCACTATGCAGAGCCATACAAAGCAGTGTGCTGACGGGAGAGATCTGTGTTGTTTATACACAAATCTCTCCCCCATTGGAAATCCTCAGCTATCACCGGGTGCTGGTGAGTAATCAGTGGCCGGGACCCAGTGATTGACAGTCAAGGCTGTGAATGGCGGCGCGGGGTAGGGTGCGCGTGTGGCCCCACTACCTGGAACTGCGAAATCACGTATATATATATATGTATATGCGTGTGTGTGTGTTTTTGCGCACCCCTGCCACCCTGAAACAGTATTCTTGCTATAGGGTGGCGCTGAAGCGGTTAATAAAGTCCTTCACATGTATTATTGTGTGTTGTGCAATCTTGTATTTCTTCCATGATTCATCCATAGCTCTCTAGTTCTGGGAGGGCGTCCATTGACGTACCCTGCTCCTCCCCTAGGGTGCGCTCTATGGCCGCTGTGTTCTTTGGACACAGCTGATCACAAATCGGGGTAAAGGGTCAATCACAGCAGCCCTTTACCATGTGATCAGCAGTGTCCAATCTCAACTGATCGCATGTAAACAGACTTGCAGTCCTTTCCCCACATGTTTCGTCTGTGTGAGGAATGGAAAGCCGATTACTGGGAAGACCGGCATGGTCAGGGCACTGATCATCAGTGAAGAAGAAACTTTTTTTTTTTTTGAAAAATTTTTTAATAGAAACTAAGAAAAACATTTTTTCTCCAAACTTTTTGTTCTTTTTTTTGTTTGTTTAGCATAAAATACAAATCCTAGTGGTGATTAAATACTACGTAGAGAAAACTCTATCTGTTTAAAAATGATAAATGGTGTTTTAACATTTTTGAAACAAATGGAACTTTATTAAAAATAACATCAAATCTGCCCAAGCAGCGAGCGCACTGAAGAGCAGCAGTGCACCACCGTACAAACACTTGTATGTCATGTACATGCGGTGACGTAGCGTGGGTTGTCAGCATCCAGTGGCAGCAGCTGCAGCACCAGCAGGGAGACTCGCCCACCCTGACCTCCTCTGCCAGCACCCCCAGTCTGACTCCCCACCACCCCCACACAGTGGCACTCACTGCCTGCACACAATCAGGATCCGCCAACCGCTCTGCCCTCCTCTGCCTGCTTGGATCCATTCTCCCTGCTTTCACAGTGACATCGGGTACACTAAAACCTCCACGCTGCACCCTCTCTCCCTGCTAGGTTTTAGTTTGCCTGCTGCCTGGGCTGTCTTCTGGTGGCACTTCTTTAAATGTTGCACCTGGGGCTACTGCAGCAGCTGCCCCCCCCAGAGTACACCACTGGGTACATGCCCCCTTTAGGACACTGACCTCAGCATCATCAGCTGGTGTAATCTGGCGCCTACTTCTGGGTAACATGATGACGTCACTAGGCTCCGCAATGACGCGTTTCGTCACCACCCATGTGACTTCTTCAAAGGGGAAAAACCCTCAATGCCTCCTGAGCTCTGAAGGCAGCATTCTTTTGACCAAGTGAGGCAACACTTTCGCGGCGGCGTGTACACCTCCATCTGTTCCAATTTCACATTTTTTATAGGTGGTCAGGAAGCAGTAAAAATGTGACCCAACCGCCTAATTTCCGTACTTGGAGTCCCCAGGGAGAAAAGTGCTACAGAAATACAAATGAATTGAGGCTGCATTCATACTGTTTTGTGAATGCGTGATAAATTGCGTCGTACACATGTGCATTTTTGTTGGCGCGTTCCCATTCTACCCACATAGAGCGGCCAGCCATTCATTTCAATGGGCTTTCCTAGGTGCAGCAAAGTAGCTCATGCACCTCTTTCAGTTTAGGTGCAGTTTTTTGAACAGCGTGGGGTTTTTTTGCGTGAAAATGTGCATCTATTTTCCTACACAACGTCTGTGTGTAGGAAAAGCTATAGTGTGAATGCAGTTTGTATCAGCAGGTTCTGCAGAATGGAATCCACCCCCGTGGGAAAATGAAAATTAGGGGTCGCTTTGGGGTCAGTGATAACATGAAAACCTCAAGTAGGTGGCACCTTTTTTGGGTATATCTATGGGCGGAATCCCTCTTTAGGATCACTGTAGAAGGAAAGCAGCCTCTTTCTTCCTTTTTACAGTGTTCCTTTTTTTTGGCTACTTTTCCAAAATCTCTATTATGGGGTAACAAGTCATAAACTGCTCGCTGATTGCAGCCTAAATATTTATATGAGGACACATATGAGGGAGGATGATATGTAGACACGTCTGTCTGTCAATCCCACCAACACAAGCCAGAGACAGATTACTCGGGAGAGACGGACGGCAAGGGGCGGATTCTTCCCCAGTTCTGCCTTAAAGCCGTATTGAACCCCAAAGCAAACATTTACTGTATTGCAGCTTCCCAATCCTTAGATGTGTTGGCTGCATTCGTTTTCTTTTTTAGGCTTTCTTCATTTTCACCTGATGATCAAGCCAGTAAGTCTGTTGCTTTTTAACAGAACAAGCTATTCTGCAGATGTAGCAGTTAGAGGGTTGAGACAAACCATTTATCACTGACGGGTGCCTACAAAGGTCAGCTTTTATTTATTCACGTAAAAACTTTATTCCAAATTGAAAAACTGTTTTCTGTAACTGCTTATAAAGTAATAGCTGGAGTTTCACTTTAATTTTTTTAGTGTATCTAAATCTGCTAGCATATCTAATACTTCCCTCTCCGCAGACTGATAGTGCTGCTGTCCAAATGTGCTCCTTCATCCAGAGTAGGGGCACTGTAATACGAAAGGTGTGTTACTGGCCAGATTACCATGTGAAAATTGAGAGGAAAAAAAGGAAAACTAATGCAGCCGCCACATGAGAAATAAAAATGCAGCGCTTAGGAAATTAAATATGAACAAACAGAAACATGAGCAGCATAATTTCATAATCTCAATCTGGGGTGATCATGCATCATTCCCAGATGGACGGAACCTTCAAAAGCGGGCTCCCATATCATAGATGAGACCCAGAGAAGCCTCTGATAGTGTAGTACGTTTATTAAATAAAAACTTACACCAGATACAATAAAGGAAAAAACTTACATCAAAGTAAGGTCAGGCCACCAGGGTGTCAATCAGGATGGCTTTGTGGTATGTATACACAGGTCAAGGGCACCTCCCTAACGCGTTTCGTGTACAAAACACTTCCTCAGAGGGTCTGCATAGAGCCAGAATACTGAAGAATACATTTTTACCTAGAGATAAACTTTTTAAAGTGGTATCAGAGCCAAAATGTAATCTATAGCAGCTTCCCAATCATTAGGTGTGGCGGCTGCATTGTATAAGTAGGTAATAGAGCGCTGGGAATGCATAAGTGAAGCAGCTAGCATAAAAGGTAACCTTGGGACCCAGATAGAAACATGAGAAATAAAAATGCAGCGCTTAGGAAATTAAATATGAACAAACAGAAACATGAGCAGCATAACTGCATGACAAATTCAGTCCATATTGCATGGTGCGATAAAGTGACAGGTGCAATTGTCCTAATAGTTCATGTTCAGAGAAATTCGTGACTCTTGTGATCTCGTGATTTGTACAAATAATGCACTAACCAGATAGCGCAATCAAAGCGCATGGAGCAATTAAGACCCGCTCCTGGTGCTCTGGACTTGTAATATTAGGAGGATGTCATCTGTAGGTTTGGCCACCAGATGTCATCAATCCAGGTATATAGGTAAGTCATCAACCAGAAAGATCATCAGCGGGGGAGGGGGTGATCATGCATCATTCCCAGATGGACGGAACCTTCAAAAGCGGGCTCCCATATCATAGATGAGACCCAGAGAAGCCTCTGATAGTGTAGTACGTTTATTAAATAAAAACTTACACCAGATACAATAAAGGAAAAAACTTACATCAAAGTAAGGTCAGGCCACCAGGGTGTCAACAGTAGCTTTATCCAGACCTCTTCCTGCACTCCACCGCTCCGGCAACACCTCTAGGGTCCACTCAGAGACACAAGGGAAACAGGCTCCATAGTGCAATGTTGTCAATTTTATTTAAATAAAAATTAAAATACCCACTCACATGTTAGCAGGTAACAGCAAACATCCTCAGTTGTCCTCATGGCACCTTGACATCAGTGATTGATATATGTCATTCTATGTTATATATATCTACTTAGGGGGTTCATTCACCCATGCAGTTTGGACTTATTTATTTGCATGTATTTTCTGAATGCTTTTAGTGCTGGCTGTATATATTAGTAGCACTGCACC